TATTTAATTTTAACTTTTTATTTTATTCTATTTTAATTTATTTCACTTTAAATATTTGATTTTTACTCTTTTCCATTTTATTATATACATTTTTATTTTTTTATATTTTAAGCTGTTTTTGTTTTTGTACAACTTTTTCCATTCCTGTGCTTTTATGTAAATGTGTATAAAAATAACCATTCTGCTGCTGGACTTATTTAAGGTTTATTTTATTGTTATTTTATTTTTATTTTAAGCTTTTTTCTGCACGTCACAAACACATAATACAAACTCATATACCACATATACATACATATGTTCATGTATCGTCCGTAAATAATAATTAACCTTTTTCGGAATGCATTTCTTTTTTGGTCTGCAAAACACGTTTCAAGATCGAGGTAACTTTAACGAAACAAAAAATTTTTTAAATTTTTTTTTCTTTTTGGCGGAAAAGTAAACAAAAGTAAACACTTTGCAGACAATTTGTTTTAATAAAAAAGGCGAACGGCAAAGCCGCTGCAGCTGCAGCACGTTTTTGGCCAAAACAATATGGCAAGTGTCATTTTCTCACAAGTGTTGTTGTTTTTGTTGTTGCTTATGAAGCATAACGATATCGGATTTGCATACGCTAATGGATAGTTTTCGTGTAGTGTAACTATGTGTATATTATAATTAATTTTTAATGGATAGAAACTTGTAAGTTTCATATGCACAGTACTAATAAACAAAATATGTTAATTCGGGGTTAGTTTCAAATGTTTCGGGGTCATGATCCCGAAAATGTAGAAAAAAATCGGAGATCCTGGGCATTGATTGCTTGGTTAGTTACAACTTCATGCCAAGCTCTCCAAATCTTCGCTTCGTCTTTCGCATTTCACAGTATGGGTGGCTAATTTTTGAAGAAATATGGACCCTTTATCCATTGAGCGTACAAAAAAGTGAGTTTTCGAGGATGTAACGACGTCTCAACAATGGCTTGTGGATTACCATCACTCCAAATGCGATGAATTTGTTTATTAATATATCCATTCAACATAAAGTGAGCTTAATCGTTGAACAAAGTATCATTTTCTTTGGGCCTATTCACCGAGCGGCGAACTTTGATGGTTGTTCAGTTCGACGCGGCGGTTCGACGTCTTCTAGAGGAAAAGTGGTGCGAGAACAATCATTATGTCGACCGAATATTGCAAACTTCATTATAAAATGACAAACCAAATTGAGTATAAATCAAGTAACAGCTGTCAAAAAAACAAACTCTGAAAATGGTATTGCCTTATTGAAATCCTCACGTCTAAAAAACACTCTTCATGTATCAAGATCTCGTTACCGAAATTGCATTTTTTTCAGAATTCCAAAATTCCATTTCATTGGATGAACCCCTATCCACATCGTGTCTAACTAATTTCATAAATAATGCTAATTGTCTGTTCAGAACCCCTTCTCTGCACAATAAATTAATTATATACGTGCGCTTACAAAAATATATTTTTTTCCTTCTTTCGGAAATGTTTTATTACAACCCACGAACTATAATTATTAAATATATTTTTAATTAAAATGTAAATTATAAATTTATGCAGATCTCTAGGTCTTTTCCATTATTTACATATATTCAATTAATACATTTACAATGTTTATAATTATTTATGTATGGTTACACGTCAAACTGTTATGGCCCCAACACGCCTGATCAACTCTTTATAATGTTAGTAACCCACACGCGCACTCACACCGATGAATATTTTAACTGTTTTTATTATTAAAATCTAATTACTTATCGTTGGGCTTCCTAAATGTTTTATAATAAAAAAAGGGTTATCCGTTATGTAGTTTCGTAAATACAATAAAATGGGGAAAAATGCATTTAAAGTAATTTCTTTCTTGAAATTCATTTTTTATTATAAAATTATTTTTGTTTAAAAAGTTTGAGCTTTGGCATTAAATGTGAAAAACGATATCATTCAAGTAGTCGCCTGAGAAATTTTCGCACAAATTTTCGATTTTCGACCACTTTTTGGCAATTTGGCATCGCCTAGATTAAGGCGCATTGAAATTTCTCTCGCAATAAAGCCGAAATCGCATGTGACACCATCTCGTCGAAACCACATATTATCGTGTTCTTCATTTGCAGGCAAAAAGAAGTCGAATATCATACGACCATATCGCTCCGAATCGACAGTGATAGTCTCTCTGTTGTCGTTGCCAAATAAGTAAGGTCCAATCACACCTTCGGACCGAAAAGTGCAGCAGACAGTAAGATTTTTTGGGTGAGTAATGTGCCGAATGCCAACCGCTGCTTATTTTTCAAGCACCCAGCCGACGTCTTCAGCTACACTTTCACTTAAAGTAGCGATATTTGAGGTGAAAGAAGCAAAAAGATGATGCACAGGTTTTCCAATATCTGTAACCGATCCAGTCTCTTTGAATTTCTTCAAAATTTTATTGATTCTTTGAGTACATGAACGATCATGTACACCATAATCTACTCTTCAAGCACGAAACGTAAACATGCTTGAATCATTATTTTAGTTGTAGGTTCTAAAACTTTTAACGCGTAAAAATGTAACATATTTGGTTTGACAGTTAAATTTGACAGACGGCAAAATACAACTCTGTACTTTTGAAACCACGAAATGGATAACCCAATATATAGTTGCGCTTGGCAGGTGCCCGAGTGTCTACACATCTTCGTTTGTGTTGGCTATAACATACAACAATTTATTATTTGTTTATTTTTTATTAGTTTTTTTTTATTTTATTATTTATATATTTTTTTTCAATTTGTTTGTCATGTTTTACCATTATTAATTATTGAATTAATTGAAGTGAATTGTGCTTGAAGACGAAGCGTTCATCGACAGTTACTGTCTGTTTCACCGACCGTTAGAATTGAAAGCGTTTAAGTGTTTATGTGTTTCTCGAGGACAAAAATGGAAGATTTTATATGTTATTTTTAGCTTTAATTCATTTATATTTTTTTTTTAAATATATTTTTTTTAGATGCTTTATATATTATTTTAAATTTCAACATTTGCTGATTTATTGTTGTTAATAAGAGTATAATTTGTTAATGGTTAGTGCAAGCTTTGGTCTGGGTGAAGGAGCGAGTTCGTGCCTTAAGTCTTCTAGCTCAATATGATTTTGCATGTCTGAAATTCACTCAAAGCTAGCTTTTTGTAACCATTTTGTATGTTTACATTTATTTTGACCTACAAATGTTCAATGATCTATTGGGGAATTTTAAACGTATGTTAGATCATTCTAAAATGACGCAGGTGTAGCGAGTGAGTGAACTTCGAAGAGATTGGTTAATTAGCATTAAATTAATTCAATAAGTAAAGTGTAAAAAAATACGATTTTTGGAATGACTTATTTAATAAAAAATAAAGAAAGAGGTGAATAAAAAAAGGTGTATGTATATCCTTTAATTAATTGCATATACATAAATTCTAGAAATCACTTCAATACTCAAAGCATTATTTAAATTACTAAGAATGAATTATTATAAATTTTTATTATGTCACATATATATGTTTTTATGCAACCCATAAAAATTATTTTCTTTCCGCCTATCAAGCACACACACACACGCACACACAAACAACTATATGTGTCAGCAACCACACACGTTCAGTGTATGAAATATATCTATTTACTTATATTTGTATGTCTATCTGGTACCTATTTGTATTCATTTCATTTATGTTATTTCTTTATTTACATTAATAATAAATTTAATGGTGTTTTTGGAGCGACACAGCACGAATATTTCCCCTTTGTTTATTTATACAATCCAAGCATACTCGTGCATACCTAAATGTGGGTTGTTGATGGCTCTTATAACGTGATGTGCGTGTTGTTGTACGTTTGAAACCTTGCCAAACGAAGCTTGCATTCACAATTAGGCTTCTTCAAATTAATCACTTATTTTTACATAGAATGCAAATCATAATGTCTAATGCTTAGCTCTATTATTAGATATGTGTCGCATTACGGCCTTTGCAGGCCAAACACGTACCGTGTTAAATGACCTCATGCACTTGAAAAGTGTAGAAGATCGTACGAAAATTCTGCTGTTTTAGGCAGAAGTCCGAGAAAATAAACAAATAATGATAAGTCTTTCCTTACTAAAGATCCGGAATAGTTGGAATGAACTTTATAAGCAGAAGAGAAACTTTAGAGCTTCTTTACTCTCTTTTTCATTGCATGCTCTTTTTCAAAATAAAATAAAATAAAATAAAATAAAATAAAATAAAATAAAATAAAATAAAATTAAATTAAATTAAATAATAAAAATAATTGAAAAAAGGCTAAATGAAAGAAAAATATCATAAAAATCAAATTAAAGTAAAATACAGGCAAACAAAGTAAAATAAATTTAAATTAAAAAAAATTACATAGCATAACATAACAAAACATAAGATAAAATAGTATAGCATAATCTAACGTAAAATTAAGTAAAATAACGTAAAAAAGAAAATAGAAAAATAAAAGTAGAATATAGGAAAAATAAATAAAATAAATAAAATAAATAAAAAAATAAGAAAAAAAATTAAAACAAAAAAAAAATCAATAAAAAGGAAAATGAAAAGAAATATTAAAAAATTGAAGAAGAAATTCAGAAGAATAAAAAAAAATAAGAAAAGATAAAATGGAAATAAATATTACTTGGATTCAATGAATTCTGTTATCGGAGAAATCTATTGTACCAATTATAAATAAAAATTTCAAAAATAATAAAAGTCAATTGAAAGAGAGAAAAAGAAATAAAAAGAACTAAAATAAAAAATAAAATAAAACAAAATTAAATTAAACTTAATAAATAAATAAAAATGAACAAAAATTAAAATAACAAGTAAATAAAAATAATTATATTATATAATTTAGTTTTTATTATAAACCGTATTTATGAAGATATTCATGCGAAGAACAAAAAATAGCCATCGAATTTCAAAATTTTTATTTTTTTTGCATATTTTCCAGTATTTAATTTTACCTTTTTTTCCCCATTTCCATAGAACCGAAACCGCTCGTAACTATCGGCAGTTCAACTGACGTGGATACCGAAAGTTTGGACGAAATAAATTTGGACACCACGACCGATGAAACACAAACAACTACAGACTCCAATACGCTATCTGGACAAATCGATCCGAACGGCAACTCAGTGTGGTCGGATATAAACAACCCTCCAACTGATTCTATACTCAGTCAAGCGGCCTCTTCATTCTCGGCTCTCCCATCGGTGGCGTCAAGTGTGTTGTCGACATTTTCTAAACGAATTTCTGAATATTCCGCCTCGAATAGTCGCGAACGTACACCTACAGGTGATAACGGCAACATAGCATCGCAGCTAGATATTCAACCAGCTTATTTGCAACAACAATTTCAAACGCCATTATCATCTCATCAAGAGCAACAACAACAACAGACTGTACAACAGTTTCCATATTATAATATACCACAGGCAACTACTGTGCTACCTACTGTCGCTGCTGAATCCACCACCACAACAGCTCCATTTGGTATTCCGGAAAGTAACGCGGCACCACCACCGGAACCACCGAAATTCTATACACCTACAGAGGTGCCAGCTGCGCCGACGGTGAATGCGACGCTTCCATCGCCACCGGGTGGACAGAATACTTATCGTTTGGCGGCCAAGAAGAAGCTATATGCACCAATACCGGGCTTCTCAGAACAAAGTGGTATTGCTGGTGCATCTACCGCGCCAACCGTAAGCACTTTAAGTAGTGCGACACCATTACAGGGTATACCACCTCTACCACCACAACCTGCTGTACCGACAGATCCACTTGGTAACCCGTTGCAATTCAACTCATACGAACCAAATTACCAAGCAGAAGCTCACACACAAAAGCAGGAAGAACGCAAGACAGGTGGACTTTTTTCGAATATTAGCAGTTTGGTCCCAAGTGGTGTACTTCAGAACATCTCTGGATTAGTACAATCAGCGACAGGTACTTTTTCGCAAGGAGCGAACAAACCGTTTGGGGAAGAGTCTGCACAGCCCACGCCCGCTTACGGTTATCCTGGTGCCTATCAACAACCAACTGCTGAGGTTGGAACTGTTGGTACTGGCCAATATTTTGGGGTTAGTGTTGCACCGCCACCTATTGGAGTGCCACCTATTGGAGTGCCCTCAGTTGGTGCGGCTTCAGCGCCTCAATTCTATCCTACAACCGCAGCGGATAATCAATCTGTGGCAGCGTTTTTTGCTCCACCTCAACATCTGCCACCAACACCTTCCCAACAACAACAACAACAACAAAGCGTCGCACAATTGCCAACACCAGCTAAGCAGGAAGCTTCTCAATTGTTCGCAACTCCTTTCGCTGCTCCTGAAGGACAATCTGCGCTACCTCCACCGCCTCCTATTACTGGTTTTGTGTCTGCTCCACCAAAAAGTGTCACACCCGACATAAACAAACAACGTCCATCTGCATCGACGACACCCGTCTCTTACTTTGATCCTACTAAACACAGCACTGGTTCTACACCAGCTTCGTTCTTTGTTGCTACTCAACAACCAACAGTCAGTCCACCGCCTCCGCAGCCAACGAGTTTTACTTCTAATTTTGCACCTCCTTCGACAGCGGTGCCAGCGGTACCATCCAGTTCAGTCAGCACATTTAATACGACTCAAGCAGTTTTTCAGCCAATACAACCACCGCCAACATCAGGCATTCAACAATTTAATCTGCAACCTGGTGCTGGAACTCAAACTCCGTTGCCAACATATCCAACTTCCGCCGCTACCCATCCTCCTCTACAACCTGGTAGTATTCTTTCAAATCCAACAGTTCCACCACCTGTTGCCGCTAACCAAGCACCTCTTCCACCAGCAGCAAGCGGTTCAACCTCATTTCGATTGCAGAAGGGTACACGCCTTTATAAGAGTCCGTTGACTTCAGCAGAGACTGCACCAGTTCAAATACCTGTTACCGTACCACAACCACTCGCACCACCAACCAGCTTCTTCAACCCTTTCGGTCCACCAGCTGCAAACAGTGCTCCAAATCCAGCCGCTCCACCAGCAGTACCTACTGTAGTTCCAAGCTATTTCATCGCTCAGCCTGCAGAATCTAGTGTAGGCCTCTTTGCTGTTGAGAAGACAGAAGTTGGAACTGAAAAGCCAGTCTCACATTTTGAGCCACAGCAACTTGGCACTCCTGCCAACGTAAATGCTGCAGTCAGTGCAACAGTTGGAAAACCAGAATTATCAACTGTACCCACCACTTCAGCAGAAGGACAGTCAAAAGTAGTTGTATTTGAAAAGTCTTTATCGACCGAAGATTTTAATGCACTAATTGCACAGCAAACTATTGAGCCTGAAACCGAAGCGGAGTCAAAGGTAGCTACCACAAGCGATTTATCGGCTGAAGAACTTACTGAGAAACTTATCTCTCCAACGGAATCTACAAAGCAAGCAGATGGTGTCTTAAACCAAGCTGTTCAAGAACTTTCGTTACAAGCTGAATCAGCTCCGGCACCTGCAGAACAACAACTTGTTCAAGCTTATCAAGAGTCACAAATAGAACATCAATTTTTTCAACAAGAGCTTATACATACCGGAGAGCAACAACAAGATATTTCCCAGCCAGAACAATCGATAAATACAACACATAAAGAGCAATTGAAAAGTCAAGAAAAAGAAGGGGATCTAACTCAAAATTCCGCACTCCAACCTCAGCATCTACAGTCTGAGTCATCCCCAGTTGCAGAGCTGAATCATCCCATTCTTACTACGAATTTGCCAGAAGTCCAACCTTACGTCCAACAAGTACTGCCACCCCAGCCGACCACTGCACTAGTCAATCCGCTCATACCGCCCAGCGTACCACACGTGAGTGGTTCACCAACCCAAAATCAAAACACAAATCCATTCCGTAGAAACGTTGTTACCGCACCATTTGCGCACTCAACTTCCCAATCGCTTAGCGAAACTCAGCCCCAGTTGGCTAATTTCTTTGCGGGCGCCCTCGGATTAGGCGATTCTGCCGGAGCGGAGTTCAACATATTTACTCCAGCTCCACAAGGGCCTCAAGTAACCGGTTCTACTGACCCCAACGCAACTGCTGCAAGACCAGCAGAAGAACCACCAGCGGTTCCTACTGCACTGCCCAGTGCTGCTGGTTTCTTTGGTTTCGCTAACCCTCCACAACCCAACTTCTTTCAACCGACTACTGAACCTCCATCTCTACCACCTCATAGCGGGGTAGCTCCACCGCCACTTGCTCTTGAACCAGCAACCACAGCTGAGGTAGTACCACAAACTCCAATAGGTATACCACCACTCATTGGGTTTGATAACTTTTTGCCACCAACAAGCTTAGCGAACGAACAAACACCAACTGCGCCGCCAGCTTCCAGCACCGACGACGATATAAATACTGCAGCAACCATACCGCCAAGCCCGCTTACTGCTGGCAACTCTGAAACTCAGCACACAGAAGTTGTAAATTCATTTTCGAACTATTTCAATCAAACTTCAAATCTCACAACTGAAAACAATCAGCTACAAACGCAACAAATAGAACAACAACAACAAACGTCAATTGTGACACCGCCCAGCGTACCGTTATTGCCCAGAACCACAGTCACTTCTTCAGCTAGCTTCTTTGATACCTTTGCGCCACACCAGCAATCGGCTGCAAGTGCAGATAATTCTTTGACGACTCAGCAGCAGCAAGCAGTTACACAATCGAACGAAGATCAACGTTTGCAGAATTTCTTCAACAATCCACCACAACGTGAGAACAACGCTGGCGTAGGCGATCTTGGCTACGATTTGGTACATAGTGGTCTCGCCATACGCAATTTGGGTTCCCTCACCTCCGTCTCGAATTTAGTTGAGCCACCTTCTTCTTCCTGCTCAGAATTTTCCGAATTGAACAATAGCAACTTGATAAAGCGCAGTCCCGAGAAGAATATTTCAACTGCCGTGAGTACCAACCAAACGGCAATTAGTTTAGCTCCGACGCCTCAAGAACAAGTAAAAACTGTAACAGAGCCTTTGAAGGAACTAGAGCCAAAACTGTTATCTGCCATCACAGCCCCTGCCGCTACTGATTTCTCCTTGGATAAACATTACGAAGATTTGCCAGAGGAAGTTTTGCGCGAATTAAGAATGGCTAATTTGTTGACGGGTGAAAAGGCTGCAGCGTCGGCGCCACCAATGGCTGTGGTGAGTAAATGAAAAATTATAAAATTAAATTGAAGTAAATTAAAAAGAAAATAAATTTATTTAAAAAAAATTAAATAAAATAATTTTGGAATAAAAAAAATTGAAGTGAAAAATATTTTATATATTTTGTTATTTTTATTTGAAAGAAATAAAAAATATTAAAAAATAAATAAAATTAAAAAAAAAATAAAAAAAAAAATAAAAAAACAAATAAAATTAAAAAAAAAATAAAATAAAAAAATTAAATTAAATTAAAAAAAGTAAAATAAAAAAAATAAAATAAAAAAATAAAATAAAATTATATAAAATAAAAAAAATTGATATAATTAAAATTTGAGGTGAAAGAAAATAAAATTTTTTACATTTTTTGTTATTTTTATTTTTAAAAAATTAAATATAAAAAAAATAATAAAAAAATTTAAAATAAAAATAAAAAAATTGAAATAAAAGAATAAAATAAAAAAATTGAAATAAACAAATAACTAAAAAAATTAAAAAAAACTAAAACAAATAAAAAAAATAAAAAAATTAAAATAAAGCAATTAAAATAAAAAAAGGAAGATAAAAGAACTAAATTTAAAATAAAAGATATTAAAATAAAAAAATGAAAATAAAAAACTTCAAATAAATAAATAAAGAAAATTAAAATAGAAAAATTAAAAAAAGTTGAATAAAAATTCAAAATAAAAAACATCAAAATAAAATTTAAAAAAAAAATTTTTTAAAAATATAAGTAAATAAAATAAAGTAAAATAAATTAAAAGAATTTATATAAAATCAACAAACAATTAAATAAAGTCATATAAAATAAAATAAAGTAAACAAAATTTAAAATTTGTGTCAGTACAATATATTCATTATTTTCTAATTTTAGCCCTACTCACCTGCGGTCAAACATTGGTTTTATAAACGACCATGTGGTAATAATAAATATGTTTGGGTACCATTTAGTCACTATGACTCCGCTTTACTCGAAGTTACGTTGGATATGGAGAGTAAGTTGATAAATTAATTATTTCAAAATTTTACCATTTCATTCTCTCTTTCGCTCTCTTAAAGGCGAATCACCCAACATTGTTGCCGTGGAGGGTGGACGCTACGACGTGAACATAAGTGAACGCACTAAGACGCCTGTTTACTGGCGAAGCGAACCAATGGAAGTTCGTCGTTGCTCATGGTTCTATAAGGGGACCGATTCGAAAATGGTGCCATACGAAGAATCCATAGCCGATTTGCTTGAAAATGAATATAAACAAGCTGTGGAGAGTGGTGAATGGCATAAGAAAATTGTGTTATCGATGAATGAGCAAGTGACATTCCATGGTCCTACAGTAATTGTACACTTCCAGCAACAGCAATCTAGCGATGCATGGGGCGGCACTTCGGTGAGTTGGATTTTATTAGTTTTAGGTAATTTGGAAAGATTAACATTTTTTTTTGTCTTTGCAGCAAACAACGACACGTCCACGTGTGGTTAAACGTGATCTTGATGAGTTCACCATTGAACAAGGCGAATCGCAGCGAGTCGATCATTTACTGCTCATGGTTCATGGCATCGGCGCAGCTTGTGATTTGAAAATGCGTAGTGTTGATGAAGTTGGTGAGTAATATATAAAGATCATCGCTATTGAAAGATATCTAACCTCAAAATAATTGCTTTTCATAATTTAAAAAAAAATTGTTTTTTGTTCTCTTCAATTAGTTGATGATTTCCGCAATATTGCTCAAGCTCTTGTGCAATCGCACTATAAAAATTCAACAGAAATGGGCCTTGTGGGCCGTGTTGAAGTGTTGCCCATCTCCTGGCACAGTCATCTACATTCTGAAGAAATGGGCATTGATGAAAAATTACGCTCAATTACTCTGGAATCAATACCGAAATTACGTAATTTCACAAACAACACGCTCCTCGATGTGCTCTTCTACACCAGTCCTAAATATTGTCAGAAAATTATGAATACCGTCGCCGTATCAATGAATGAGGTTTATAATAAATACCGTGAACGGCATCCGGAGTTTAATGGCGGCGTTTCGGTAGCGGGTCATAGCTTAGGTTCTTTGATATTATTCGATTTGCTGTGCCATCAAAAAGCGCCAAAGGAGAGTGAGGAACAGAATATGGTTAGCAGGCGCTAATAAATTTACTATATATCACTGAACTTTTTATAATGAAATATTTAATTTTTCGTGCAGGAGAACCCCGATCAGCCTAGTGGCAGCTTTATGGAAGTCAGCAATGATGATGCAAGCGTCATTAGCTACACAATGGGTCCTGCTGGTACTGGACAGCCTTTCATACATTATACACAGCTCAATTTTCAACCCAAGAAATTCTTTGCGCTTGGATCGCCGATTGGTAAGCAACTAAATTAGCTGTTTTTTGAGTTGAAGTGATTGCCATTCGCTTATAACTTTTTTATTTCTTATTTAAAGGCATGTTTGTCACAATACGGGGCATTGATAAATTGGGCCTAGACTTTCGTCTGCCAACTTGTTCGGGCTTCTACAACATATTCCATCCATTTGATCCGGTTGCCTATCGGATTGAAGCTTTGGTTAATATAGATCTAAGCGGTCTGCGTCCAGTATTGATACCACACCATAAAGGTCGTAAACGTATGCACTTGGAGTTGAAGGAGACCATGACACGTGTGGGTGCCGATTTGAAACAACGCTTCATGGATACATTCAAAAATACTTTGGAAAGTGTTAACTTTTTGGGTGGATCATCTCGAAGCAGACGCGACACTGAGGAGAGCATATCAAAGGATGTGGATCAGGTAAATGAATTTTATTCGTTTGTGTAAAAATAAATTAGAGCTTGAATATATATTAAAGAATTATAACAACAAGCCGAATTATATCAGTTCCAGGTTTTATGATTAGAAGCAACCACTTCAAACAAATATATTAATTCATTTCTTATATTTTTTCAGGTTTTGAACATGCAAGCGAACGCAGAGAAAATTAAAGAGCAAACAACAAGCGATGACCAACAACAACAACAAGCCAACACTGATGCACCACGTACGCGTTCAGATTCCTTATCAACATCACAATCCGATTCCGAAATGGTAGAAATTGATTTTCCACTTGGAAAGTTAAATGATTCCAAACGTATCGATTATGTGCTGCAGGAGGCACCACTCGAATTTATAAACGAATACATATTTGCAATGGGCGCGCATGTCTGCTACTGGTAGGTGAAAAGCATACACTCTGCACACAAACATACATATTTATTTGAATATTTGATATTTAATATTGAAATAATTGCTTTTGCAGGGAATCCGAAGATACGATACTCTTTGTAATGAAAGAAATCTATACCGGTCTTGGTATTAGTCCGGATAGTCAAGTGCCACAGCAAACAATGACCATTGAACGACCATGCTCGAGAAATAGCAACACGCTATCACCGAAAAATGAGAAGCGTTGAACAATAGAGATAATGAAAAGCTATAATGTAATGTAAAGTTAGTACGATAGATAACGGATCGTGAATATGTTTGAAATCAAATTTTGATTCGAGCTACTCTTTCTCTCTACTTCAATTAAGACACTTAATCAATTAAAAGCAATTACAATCTTCAACATTTTGCAACAGTTGAATGTATTTTTTTTTTGTAGACTTTGTGCACAAATTCACAGAAATTTTGTATTAGTAAGCTACTGCTACTGCACAATCAAATTTCTGCTATATGTATGTTGCAAATGTATAAGTTTAGGTTAGCTTGAGTAAGTGTTGTTACATATGTACGCAAAAAATTATTGTAAAATTACTTATAAACATTTGACAAGAGAAAAAAACATTATGACATAGCGAATATTTGTAAACTTTTTTATTTAATTTGTATCAACATAATGTGTATTGTATGTAACTATGTACTTGCGACTTATGCAAATTAAGCTTTGACACAATAAAAATATAATATGAATGTATGTAAACGTAAAATAGTTATTAAATAAAATGATAATTTCAAAATGCGTAGGTTCGTTTTGTTTTTTTTATTTTGAAATAAACACAAGAAATACGAACTGCCGTCAACGCAATGCCGAAGTCTTTATACCTTTTAAGACCATATAAAATTTATCATATTTCATTTTAGGATTAAATGATATGAGAATTATATATCTGGAAAATTGATTGAGGAGTTTTCTGATTTTTATGATTTTCGGTGTCAATTTTAATTGTATCTGCGTATGTAGAATACCAAATCTCACGCTTGTGGACGCTTTTCTACAAATTTTTCTTCATGAATCTCATATGAAAAAATCGGATTTCTATGATTTTCGATGACAAAGTTTATTTACAGACACGACACTACAATACTAAATTTCATACTCATAAATGCTTTTTTGACGAAGTTTTGACCAAAGCCTCGTATCTGTAGGAGGTGTTTGTAGCTACCATATATGTTACAGCCGTCCGATTTCGATAATTTTCAGTACCATATAAGATGATAGGTTTTATATCAAGTTTCACGCTCTTAGATGTCATTTTTTTTTTTTTTTTTTGAAAATATAGACTTAAAATCTACCCGGCGCCGGCCGTTTAAATGTGCCAAAGCATCTGTGTATGAAGTTAGGTGGAAATAACTCAAAAGGAACGTAAAAACTGACGGACAGACGGTCAGACGGTTAGCCATACCCTCTACTCCCCTCTCAACTCGTCATTCATCAAGGGTATAGAAAACCTTTTTATACATTGGGCTTTGGTTTGTGAGATCAGTTTTTTTTTTAAATAAAGATTAAATAATTTCCTTTTCTGGATTTTTTTACTTTGATGTCTTAATTGATATCATAATCTGCGATTTGTCTATTTTCGTGGTTTATTTTCCTTACTTTTGTTGATCTCTCTATTCTCCGTACTTTTACCGGTATCATTGGTTGCGCCAGAGTTGCCCACACCTTTCTTCGTCTTGCTGTTTCCCCTTTGCTTTTGTATATAGAAGTTGTTTAGCTTCAATTTGTTCTCATCAATAGCAGCTAAATCAGCTTGTGATAAGCCATTAACGATGTTGCCAATTATACTCACCTGCGAATATGACATTCTTATATACATATTATGCAAACATACATATATATTATATTTTTTATTTTCATTTACTCACATCAATTTTCGACCAATCCTTTGTCTCACCGAAAGCCTCCTGGCGCATGGCGAGTTTAGCAAACGCCTGCAACTGATTTTGTGGACAAGACTCAATAATGCCAATCCTCTCGGCAGCAGCTCTATGATAATTAAGTATAAATATTAAAATATGGTTGCCAATAACTTTGCAACAGAATTACCTAAAAGCATCCGCATGTATGCCCTCAATGTCGCTTTCATTCAAGTGACACACAATTTCACCCATCGAAATGAGATCATATTCGGAGTATGTTTCCGGTTCCTTGCCCAACCATTCGTAACGTACTTTACTCGCTATTAGATTCATTTGTTCCTCACTAAAGCCGGTATTCATGTCCGAGCTTAACGCATGCACACCGCCAAATGCCTCCACCAACTCAACACGTGACATGCTGATGTTGTGCAATTCCTCAACACTGATGGCCGTAATCACCAAACGGATTTTGCCATACACCTCAGGTGGTACATTTTCGATGCCACCAAAAGCCTTAAGAATTACAAGTTGTTCCACAGTTTAAAGCAATTAATTAAAAAATAATAATAAATATGTTTAACAGTGTATGAGCTTAACGATTTTGATAAGCCGCCAAACATTCTCGCTGGTATTAGTAGATATGCCTTCGCTGTTGGCCACGCCTAAGCACGGCTCTAGACTCGCCCAGTCCGTGTTGCTGATCTCTTTGTCCTGCAGCATCACTTGACAATTGTAAGTTTGAGCGAAAGATGTAGCCAATTGTATGGAAAGAAGAGCTAGCGCTTGTGGCAGGAGCTCAGTGTCGAACTGCATTTCGTTTACGCTGCAAAAGGAATGTAAATCTTTTGGTTTTTATTTAATTTTTGCTTAAGAAGTTTAATACTCTTTGCTTGCTGTGGCTCATTATGTGGGTCACGCCACTCAAATATCGACTTTGATTGACGCAACACAAATTAAAGAGTTCATGGGTGAGGAAATTTAAATCGATGAGGGTTTGAAATTTTAAATGATTTTACTTGCCAAATCACGCGATTATTTCTCATTAAAAATTGTTGCGTATACGCCCCAGTGTTTTATGCTGTTGGTTACGCCATTATTCTGAGTGGAACTTGCGAAAGCGAAGCGAAGCCTTCTCAACGAAGATTGTTTTCCCTTTTCCCTTTTTTTTGCAGAACAAAATTATGTTTATCTTCTTTATTATATTTTTTTTTTAATTTAATAACAATATTTGTTGATATATATAGAACAATGTGTACGATTTATTTAATTTTTCTATTAATAATATTTTTTTAACTTTTCAACTAAATTTATTTACATATATTTATACTATTAAAATATTATTTCTAAGCTGAAAATTATGTTTATGTTTATGATTTAGCTTAAATAATAGTATAAATAAAAATATACAAAAGCAATAAATGAAAAAAGAAATAATTTAAAAACATTTACTAACACACTTTCATATTTTGATACAACCATTCCTCAATTGAATCTTGAATTGATATTTACACTTGAATTATCGCCCAGCCGTGAGCTAGACGCATGTATGTAGCTCTAGAAATACAACATACTTGTATGTTTGTATTGTACTATTCAATTTACAACTACACTGTTTAAAAAGGAAATATTTTTTTATTTAATTTAAATTTTTCATGTAATTAATTTCATTTTAGCTTTACTTAATATTACTTTCCACCTTCAATTAGCCACGTCAGAACGAAATGTCGTGCGGTGCAGTTTGAAAGAGTGCGCATTCCGGACTAAATGGAATGTCCCCGGCTATGCTTCGGGGAAATTCTCCTCGACATTTCCTCGCCATAGCTGGAGACATTCCTTAATGGATGGATTAGACTCAACAGGTGTCAACCCTGTCCTTGGGGTTCGGATACATGTCTTGCCAAGTTGTTGTAAGATCCAAGCGTAATGTGGAATAGATTTAGTGACGTGTGCACATAGGAAATGCTCTGTAGCACTGCCGTTAATAGAGTGCTGAAGAAGTTGGCTGAAGGAGTTTCCATGCTTAGTGCCTATGTAGATTGTATCTCAGTCATCATGAGCGGTATGTGTTTGGCAACTCTCGGTTCTCTGTCGAATCAGACACTGATAGCCATGAAAAACTGTGCTTTTTCAGCAAGACTTAAGGTTAATACTGATAAAACAGATCTGCTTATATTCAAAAGGAAATAAAAAATTCCAGCTTGAAGCAAACCAAAGCTGGGGAAGGCCACTTTATAGCTGAAATTTAGCATTATGGACCTGGAAAATTGTATCGGATAGCAAGTTGTTGATAGAGGCTCAATAAAGAGGAACAAGTGAAGGCAAGATAATATATCCGGATATGCTGGTTTTCAGACTTTTAATGACCAGGCTTTAAAAGGCGAGAATACACTTTACTTAATTTCAAATAGCACCGCTTCAAAAATGAAGAATTTACATTTCCTGGGTGCCGGGTCAGACTGGAATTGAAAGCAATGAGATGATAGTTGACGAACTTTTTCGTTTGGAACAGGACGAAATAATGAAGCTACCAGATCCATTCAGGGACATGAAGCAAGCGCAAGAAATGATCTGGCTTTATCAGGCGAATAGAGTCTCGCAACGAGCTAAGGGCTACAGAATCGCGAAAGCTATGTGCAAAATATATGATGATAAACTTAAAAAGATTTTACCAGCGGTAAAGAGGCCGCATTCCTTGCCACTGGTAGAACTATTAATAGGGCCTTGCCTTTTGGTAACATTGTGGACGGCCGCGGTAGCTGAGTGTTTAGCATTGCGTACTGACATTCGGATGACTCGGGTTCATATTCCCGTGCGACCAACATCCAAAAGTAACTTTCACCCCTCCGAGTGTATTTCGGGCATGAAATAAAGGCTCTTCATAGAAAAGCATCAGCCGTTCGGAGGCGGCTTAGTATAGACATCAAGACGCCAAACCACAAATTAGAGGAGGAGCTCGGCCGAAAATCGCTTCGGCGGTTACAAAGCACCAATAGTATATGGACGTATATGCGGGATTCGATGAGTCAGACAATTCAACGTAACCTAGCCTTGTTTTATCTTATTCTATTTTTTTATTTATTTTATTTAATATAATTTTTTCCTTTTTTTTTGTGTGTAAGTTATTTAATTTAGTTTCATTAAACTAAATATTATTTTATCTGATTCAATTTTTTTAATTAATTTAATTTGTTTTAATTTATTTTTAAATTTATTTGTTCAACTTAATTTTATTTAATTTAATTTCCTACTTATTAATTTATTTTTTGATAAACTTATTTTAATTAAATTTATTTATATTAATTTTATTGTGATGTAAAAGCTTTTAGAAATACCGTCAGAGAAGAGATGAAGTCCTGGACTTCTGCATTTACTCCTCTTATTCACCTTCTCCTCAATTATGCTATCCAGCCATATGGGAGCGTCCACAAACTGCATAGCTCGGTTAGTTTCCACTACATTCACGTACCGAGGTGGAGGATGTGAGAGCGAGTTTCACAGCTTTCTTCAGGTAAAACAAAAATTTAAAGGAGAGGGATTGTACTTAAAAAATGAGCTATTAGGTCGTCTGTTATATTACAAAATGTCATATTATTTTAGCATCATTCATCTAAAACAAAATATTTGAATGAAAAGAAGTGTGAAACGAGGCCACGTTCGATCGAGCAGGAGGAAAGCCCACATTAGGCGACATGAAGGAAGGGACCACCTGGTTTATGGACGCTCCTATGACAGCGCCACTTTTAAAACTTGTCATCGACCAAATCGCCCATGCCATCCACACTGATGTTCAGCGACAGAGGTTTGTCTAGCGACAACAAAGATGGCGGCGATTTAGTTTGATCGTCGTCGCCGCATAAGCCGAATGAAGGTACTAAGTCTAGACCGAGCGTACTCGTATGCTGAGCGCCATGCAACTGATTGGACGTGTGCATAAGGTGTGATAGACTTGTATGCTGAAGGTGCTGTTGATGATGGTGATTAATCTGATGCAATTGGTTGTGGTGGAGCACTTCTTGATGTTGTTGATGCAACAGCTGTGTTTGTCCGTCGTTTTGTTGTTGTTGTTGTTGCTGTAACTGCTGATGTGACTGCGCATGCAATTGATCCAAAGTGTGCTGTACACCACAACGATCCATCATTTGTCCGCTATCAAATGACAGACCGTGACCGAGATGCTCCAGTGTGGGCTTATCGTCCAACGCCAGCGCATGATCCAAATTCAGTATGCATTCGGCTTTAAAGTTATCAATTGTGAATTGATCTACATTCAAGAATTTCATTTCGTCATAAGTTGAATTTGTGGTTGTATCCAAGTCTAATGACGCATTAAGACTGCTGCTCAGTAAGCTCACAGGATGGCCATGTGGATGGGTGTTGTGATTGTGATGACTGGTTTGAGGATCGCCCATAATGTTCACATTGCTGTTGCTGTTATTACTACTGTGTGTGGCAATTAGTGGCGGCGGTGTATTGGATTGCGTCAGCGTGTGCGACATGCTTGACATTGTACTCGTGGGCGGATAGGTCGACCACTCCATTGAGACACCGCCGCCGCGCTCCAATTGATCGATATTGAGATTAAGAAAAATATTTGGTGACATACGAGACGGTGAAAGGCAGCCGACACTGAATGGCACTTTCGATTCATTGTCCAGCGAATTCGCAGACTGCGGCGGTGTGTCTGGTAGGAGTGTAGTGCCTGCGCGAGGTGGTACAAAAATAATCAATAAACAAAAATGCTTAAACACAAAAAAGCACTCACCCAAAGGATTATCTAACTGCACCATGGCGTTTTCATCCGCATAAGTGGTTTGCATACCGATTCCATCTTCGGGGTCTTGTAGATTACCACTTGTTGACTCATTGCCAACCTTTTCTTGCTTACGCCATTTGGCACGCCTATTCTGAAACCAAACTTGTACTCGTGCCTCCGTCAAATCAATGCGTACGGCTAACTCCTCGCGAAAGAAGACATCTGGATAGTGGGTCCGCTGGAAAGCGCGCTCTAACTCTTGTAATTGTAGCGAGTTAAAAGTGGTTCTACAAAGATAAGACAAAGAAAAGAAAGTTGAAAGCACAAAAGCTTTAAATGAGCAAGAAATAAATAACGTAAGAAAGAATATATTGAAAACCCAGCCACCCCCCCCCCCCCCCCCCCCCCCCCCCCCCCTTGAGGAATACGCGTGCATATGAGTTGTGTATGATGGCAGGCCCACACTAAATATATGTATGTATCGTGTAGTATTATGTTACTGTCAGCTGGTTCAATGTACTTATTGTGCTTCGCCATTTTATTTAGTCAGTCGGTCACTCGAAAACATTTTCGATTTTTCTATTTTTATTTTACACTACATTTACCTCGCACCGTTATTTCTGCCAATTCCTTTTGTTTTCAATATTTTTCTTTCCCTAATCCTCGATAGGCAATCATCAACAAAGTGGACTTGTGAAACGTGGGAAAATAACATGCACAGATACATACACTTGCGTATACTCGTACATACATATATAATGGATTATTCAACTGTGAATCTTCGTTGGTAATAATACCGTTACTTCTCATATCTCTTTTGTTCTTTTAGAGAGGCTTTAAGTAGGCGTTGGAAATAATAAAAAGACAAAAGTTGTTTACAAAAAGTGTTGGCGATGATGCAATCAAGCAGGTTTACATGAGTTTTCCATTTCTTTTTTTCAATATAGAGTACGAGTATATGTATGTTTGTACGCTGAGATATTTTAATTTTACCATGTACATAGATGTATCTTGCAAGTGGTAAGAGTCCGAAGAAGACGGAGCTGGTATGCAATTTCCACTCTCGCGGATATTACCGTTACTCGTGTTTGTCTGATTGCAGTTTTAGCTTGTTGGGCGGCTTTTGAGAGGGAATTCTTTCCGTCATCCTCTTGGTTCCCGAGACGCTTACTGGAAGCCGTTCAGAGCGAATTGTTCAACTCTTCTCCATTCCCAGCACGGGCTTGAAACAGGCTGTGGCGGACTTTTTTTTATCGAAGGATTATTTGTAAAACGCTCTTATGGTGGACAACCAAGGGCTAAAAGCCAAATAGAAAGAAGATACGTTGGGTATCTCAGTGAATGCACACCCACATCAAACGCGGCGAATCATCGACTTCCGCAACTGTTTGAACAGGGGGAGGAGGTTTCTTTCAACACTGAAATGTTGCCAAGGGCCTTCAAAAGCCTTAAATTATTCAAAGCCGCCGGTAGTGATGGATTCTTCCCAACTTTGTGGTAAAACCAGTTGAACTTAAAACTTACTAGCACAACGACTTGCCTCGGTGTTCATAGCCTAATCCGATCGGCGCACACACCGAACACCGAAACCTGTTGAAAATAATTACTCCGTACCGAAATCAAATAGAACAATATGGAAGGATTTTTAACGATTAGACCAAACAACAAACGCCTATAAGAACTATAACTCAACAAGAGTATTCCTTGGCGGCTTTTATTTATCTAGGGAGGCCTTTAATATTGCAAACAACTCCGTATTGATCTCATCAATTACCTCAATTGAAGGGCCGTATTCGAATGTATATGGTGCTCCAGAAGAGGACGGTCTGCCTACGCTAATGAGAATTACTTTGATAAATCAACTAATTCAATTCAATTCAATTCATTTATTCTGTCAATGCTTTACAAATCTTACAGACTAGAAGTACTAAGAATAAAAAGCATTAAGGATAGAGCCAAAACGAGATATCGGGAATACGAAATCAAGATCAAGTCTTCTAGAAATTCTATAAAATTCAGAGAGTGCTCTAACAATAAGATCGTAATTATGATAATTGGCTTTAATTACATCTAAATAGAACGGATGATGAGAGAGCAAAGTTCTTTTACATTATTATACCAAATGCTTCAATTGGCTAAATTGTTAAGAACCTCCTGTAAAAGTAAAGCCTCTGAAAAACATCGAATGCATTTAGATAGTTTTAATAGATCGTCTGCATAAAGCAGGAAGTTTGAATTCCTAAAGCAAGTTCCAATATCATTTATGAGAAGATGAAATAATAAAGGACCAAGAATGCTACCTCTAGGTACCCCAGAGGTGGCCTCAAATGCATAAGATCTCGCATTTTCCAATTCAACATAAGAGAATTTGCCAGAGAGGTATGACCTAGGCCAAGATAGAAAAGAAGAGTGAGAACCTAGCCACTGTAGCTTACGTAATAAGATACAATGCGGGACAGTATCGAGGCTTTGGATAAATCGCTATAGAGGACATCAACTTGATATCCCTTCTTAAAAGATACAATGCAATAACGATAAAGACAGGCTAGGTTAGTGACAGTAGCACGACCGCTGACAAAACCACCATTCTGATGCTGGCTAATGGTGCCTTTAGAACAATTTTCTAATGATTGAAAACGCCAGATGACAATGAAATATCAAAAATGTGTTTGAAGGGAGCGGAAATAGGCGAACTGCATTTTTTAAGTACATAAGAAGAATGCGCGTCCAAATCGCTACTCAAAGTGAGTTGCAAGGCAAAACATCCAATTCAGTGACTGAAAGACTGTCAAAATCGAAAGCCTGCGAAGTTTTCGGAAATGTCCACATTCTCGCTGTAGTTAGATTTAAAAAATTCGGCAAAGAGATTTATGGTATCCAAAGTGCTTTCAGAACTCCCCCCACATTAGCGAAAAATTTCATGATAGTATGCTGCGCGGATGATCTTGCCATGATATCTTCAGGCAAACACCCTAATCGGCAGGAATAATCAGACGCCTATCTCTAAAAGAGGAAGACACAATTTCATCAATATAAACCACCTTAATCCATTTGTTAGAAAAACAAAAATTGCTTCAGCGGTTACAAATCACCTAAGGGCCTATGATATTATTATATCACCCTCCAAAAAAATTGAGCTGGAGGAAACATATTGGCAACAGGACCACCAAAGCGCTCTGAATTTGAAAACCAGCCAATAGCTATCGCCCAAAATTGGTGTCTACGACTTTCAATGATGTGGTAACTTTACACAAGTGTCGTATGTGACTTACTTCTCCCCTTGCAGGGAAGAATGGTTGGAAGGCATGCCCATCGGTAACAATATCCCTATTCATATACATACTGGTGGGTCTAAAAGCGAGGCAGGACCGGAGCAAAGTTTTTCTGTGGCTACCCCAATTCCTAAGGTAGTTTTAAACTCAAGACTGTCTCCCAAGAAGAACTTGTGGACTTTATTGAATAAGCTACCACTCGGCTATTGCGTCCGGCTTTTGTGTTTTTTTTGTTTTTTTTTCGTTGTTACTAGAGTTTTCAGCCATTTGCAAGAGTTTATATTTTAGTGTGCCCTATACTGCAATTCTTACAAGGTTGAGTTGAATTCAATCTGATAGCGTAAAGGCTCGCTTCTAAATTTTCATATGGTGGAATGAGTCTGAGGGGAGTTAGCGAAGCTTTCGAGGCAGCCGATCGCAGTACTTTGGTTATGAGTATAGCTGGATATTGGTATTTATTTCGATTTCCAGCCACCAGTCGGTGACCTCGTGGAATAGGATTGGTCTAACTATATAATTGGCGTTTTATAACCGCTAGAGCGATTTTCGGCCGAGCTCCTCCTCCAATTTGTGGTTGTGCCTCTTGATGTTTTTCCAACAAATGGAGGAACTTACAGTTTATACTAAACCACCTCTGAACGGCGGATGGGTTTTTTACGAGGAGACTTTTTTACATGTCCGAAATACACTCAGAGGAGTGGACATTTCCTGCCAAGGAGCGACCGCAATTAGAAAATTTAACTTAATTTATTATTTAAATTAGTTTTCAATAACTTTTGGATGTTGGTCGCACGGGGATTTGAACCCGAGCCTTTCGAGTGTTAGTACGCAATGCTAACCACTCAGCTACAGCATCCGCGGATTGGTCTAACTACTGTATATAAATCCAGCACACAACATTCGGTTTCAGATACTATCATTTCCCAAACGTCGTTTTGGAAGCGTAAAGTGCAGTTTTAACCTTGGTCCGTCATTTCCGCTGTGTTACGGACCCAGTTAAATTTTCTATTTCTTAGAAGAGCTGCTACAACGTTCAATAAGAACTCGAGGATTTAGGAGCAACTATGTAGCTATTTATTAGCATTTTTAAGGATTTTTAAGAGACTCTGCCTTCTTTTGGGATGAAGATTATTTTAGCCTTAGTCCGTGCTTGAGGAATATACCTCGCACGCGGCAATTTTGTTTATTAACGCATCCATTCAACCACAAGTAAAATTCATCGCAGTACAAAATTTTTTTGTGAAAATCGAAATCGGTGGCAATCTCGTTGACCACATTCACCGAGAGGCGCACTTGATGATCGTTCGGCTACGATAGCGCCTGCGACACACTGCATGACGCCTCTGAGGAAGCGCATAAACCACGTGGTGAACGTGAAGTGGTGCGTCGAATTACCGACTCTGCTAGGCGGTTATGCCGACCGAATATTGCACCATTATTTTGGTAAGAAATGTGTAGGATTTGCAATCGTTACTCCGAAGTAAGTCAGTTCATTATAAAATGGCAAACACAACTGAGTGTAAATCGAGTAACACGAGAAGCTATCAAATAGGTCAACTCCAACTCCTCATTGAAAGCCACATGTGTAAAAGTAAACCCTTTATTACTAGCATGTATCAAAAAAATTTCTCCTACCACCACCTAACCCCTCGTTTAGTCGAAAAGTGTGTCGATAACTATTAGTTGCCTCTTCCCATGCATACCTGTATCGTCGCTGTTTCCGCTTCATTGTGCTTCTCTCCATAAGAGAATTTAATGATTTATTGGTATCTTACTGAGCTGTGTTTCATGCTCTTTATTGCCTCAACACTTTTATTTCATACAGAACTTGAGTTACATATATAATAATTTTCTGTTAAATATAGATTAATGTTTTTTTATTAAACATCTCACTTTTTGTTAGTTGTCCGTAGTTATAAGTAGCGTTATAATTTAAATACCTACATATTTTTAAAAATTTTATTTGGTTTTAAAAACAAGAAAAATCGGAAAATTTTTAAATCCCCGAAGATTTTGGCACACACTTTTACGCCACAATCTATTTTTATATAATTTTATCGCCAAAATTTTTTTGTTGTATTTTTTTTTATTTCATTTGATCAAATTTTCAATATATATATATATTTTTTTTTAATAAAACACACATATGTATGTATGTATGTACATAAATATATATTCCATTAAAAGATACACTGTTAAATTGCCCGCATTTTTGTCGAAGATTCTTTAGTCTTCAGTATGTCGCACCGACGATGTCACCAACTAGACTAAATTAGGGGATTGTATTGGCATGTTCTGAACTTTAGAAGTTCGCTGCAGAAGCCTTAGAAAGTTCTTGCGTTCTACGACTGTTCTATTCGTTGATTTACATATTCTATTCAAGCTATTTTTGTTTTGGATTTTCTTTTTGGGTTCAGCATTTTTTGCATTTCAAATACACTTTTTTAGTTGTTTTTAAATGCTTTTGCTGTTGTTGTTATGACATTTTCTTCATTTCTTTCTTTTTACTGGTGATTATTTTCAAATTTCTCTTGCACTTTCTACAACTATTAGTTTTTCTAAATACCTTTTTTTTGTTTACAATTCTGCTTATTATTGTTTTAGCCGTTGTCGTTGTTGTTGTAGATGTTATCATCCGCTTTGGGTTTTAAGCAATAGGATAGTAGAAAGGTAGGGGAATAATACTAGAAGAACGTAAATATATAAAATTTTTTATGATTTACGTATGTGGGACTTACATTTTCTTACGTATTTGTATTTATGTATGAGAAATATGTTTACAAACTTTTTTTTAATAATTCCATCATTCTGCTATTTTGGGACCCGCCCTCTCTCATGCACTGATGATCTCATACATTTTGTCCTTGAAGACTTCTATGCAATATATGTTTCATTTATTTATATATATTTTTTGCCCGTATATTGGATTCTAAGTGTGCTCTGCCCAAACAATAAAAAGGCGACCCCACAGTCTTCGACAATTGGCGTGGGATAAGCCTAGTCTTTATCGCATATGGGGCCTTATATAGCGTATTATATGAAAGACTAACGTGCACCGTCAACAAACTCATAAGACCTTATCTGTGTGGCTTTAGACCTTTATAAATCCGCCACTGATTAGACATCTTGGAAAAGGCCCATGAGAAAAGAACAGATTCAAACCATCTCTTTGTCGATTTTGAAACAGCCTTCGATAGCAGAGTCAGATGTAGCGGATATTGAACAACACCAGAAGCGTAGTCAAAATTGTGTAGGACCTCTTTGAGCTGTTTGACACTAAACGAATTGTTAGTAGCATTTAGAAGGGAAAAATGAAGCTCTTGCTTTGTTTTCATTTAAACGGAATGGAATAAACTCTACAATAATTTTAAGTTAGTATGACCGATGTCGTACCAACATCCAAAAAGTTATAGAAAATTAATTGAAAAAAAAAATTGAGCTAAATTTTCTAATTCCGGTCGCACCTCGACAGGGAATGTCAACCCCTCCGAGTGTACTTCTGATATGCAAATCAAAAGCTGCTCTTTAAAAACCATCAGCCGTCCGGAGGCGGCTTAGTATAAACTATAGGTACCTTCATTTTTTGGAAAAACACCAAGACGGAAAGCCACAAATTGGAGGAGGAGCTCGGCCAAAAATGGCATCCGCGGCTACACAGCACCAATTATATGGCATGGCCGAAAAAATAAACTATTTATGATATAAATGAACGGATTCAAATGTAGCCGACAGAATAAACAACTACAGTTCAACTTGCTGGCTAATTTATACATTTTACTCGCTCAATTTCGTTGCTGGCGAATTTTCACTGAGATTTCTCTACGAACACTTCTATTATGAAACTTATACTATCGGCATAGTTATAAATAGAGAATTTTATATTTATAATATGTTACTGTCTATGCTGTAAACATATACAGTATGTATGTAGATAAAGGGTATTTGATACTTGATTCATTGAAGCCACTTTTATATACATACATAAGCATGTTTGAACAAAGATGGTAGATTTTTCTCAATGAATTGTTAGTGAAAGGTGACAAAAGCCACGCATCTCCGAAGAGCATAGCAACTCGCCATTTTCCCAACCAACGGTAATCTGATTCATATGTATTGTTTTCGAGCGAACAACAACTGATAATACCTTGATGTCTTCTGACATCTGCGCTATTGTCTGCTCCGTAAAGAAACTTGCTAATAAAAAGCGCACCGTTCGCTAGGAGAGGCTACAGTTATCCTTTCGCAACGGACACGTGGAGCTCAACATGCTTCGGTTGACGCTTGATTTTGGAATTTTGCAAATTATATAATGTATTTAGTATAAAAGTTGGAAAAATAGTGGCTGAAAAGAAACATATTTTAAAATAATATAGAAAAATGGTTGGTGTCTCTAATTACAATAATTTCAAGTGTAAAAAAAAAATTTCGAAACATAAAAATTTTCGATTTTTTTTTTATCAGATCGCGCTAATACTGTTATCACTCTGTCTGGGCAATATTGTTGGCCATCGTTTGGAAAATATGTTACTTAAGCCCATGCTAGATTTTGTGGGTGCTGAAGTAACGCCTGCGCTGTCTAAGCCAGCCTTCGGTGAGCTGCGAAATTCTGTGGAGGATTCCATATTTGCGGAAGTACCTGATACCGACAGTGCTAACGGTGTGCAACGACGCGCTGAAACTGGCCGTAAAAATCTTCTACAGCACCTATACGCCGCCTATAGTTGCCTCAGTTCCGTTGAAGGTTGGTCCAAGTCGAAAGATAATTTGGATTTCGATTTGTTGCCGGCCAAGGTTTTTGACTGTAGAAGGTGATTGAAGAAAATAACAAAAAAAGAAAAAAGAAATCCAAAAATATATATATAAATATAGAAACATATATTTTATAGATTTGATGCCGTTAAGGACGAGTTAATGAACGGTTTAGATCCGGAGAGCTTCGGCTATGAGACTTTGGCTGATCAACAAAATACCGAAAACCCGAAAGGCTATGATAAGACGTCGCTGATTGATAACAGTTTGCAAAACATTTTACCAGTTTCTTATTCCACCGATTTCTATAAAAGTTTACTGATTAATTCGGACAAAAAGGATTTGAAACGAGCAGGCACTGCACCCGTTATTGGCTGTGATTGTAAAGTTAAGGTGAGAGCTCGTTTGAAAAGATTCAGAATTGCTGGATTTTAAGAAAGTCCCCATCTTTGGCCTTGTGAAATAATAGGAGGGTAAACAAGAAAAGCATAAGGTTGGTCTTTCTACAACTAAGAAAGTCTAGAGCTCTGCTCAGCCAAACATAAAAATGTAAGCTGTCACTCCACCACCACAACTGCTGCAAATATCTCCATTACAAAAATTACGATCAAATCGTTTTTCAATCCTGGAATCCGATATTTTGAAAAGTTCTCAGATCGACTGCAGGTTAGCGGCCAAGACATAATTAGTACAAATGTTCGCCAGTTCTGATCGATCTCCACAATAAGTACCTAGAAATTCAAGCACCGCAGTTACAGACTCTGGTTGGTTTCTGATTGTTTAGGTTGAATATGAGGCGACCATTGTGCGGAGTAGGGGACAGTGCGGCCCAAGTAGAAGAGTCATTCGTCTTAGTCCTGTCGAGAGCAATTTATAAAAAGGTTTGTCGGACCTCCGCCGGTATTGGCATACTTTAAGGGAAGAAAAAGTTACTTCTCATCCGAACACAGCAACTGTTGGGAGGAGTTTCGTACCGATTAATGTCTAGGATGACACATTAATAGTTTATGAAAAGAACTTCTAGGTGGAGGAGATGCTCGGCCGTAAGTCAGCTTAATCAGTTATTTACCGTCATTAATATTTGACAGTTTGAAAAGTTCTGACTTACACTTTTTTTGGACGTTCTCAAAGAACTATGAAAGTGCGCTTGCTTATGAGAATGAGATGTCTTCTATTGTAGAAATCCACTTCACTGTAACTTCTCAGCGTCTTCTAGAAATCCAACCCTCTGCAAATTCTCAGCAACACAATTGTCCGGCAAACTGAAATTGTGATTCAATTATTTAAATAAGTATGGTATGACCCACATCTAAAAGTTATAGAAAATTAATTTAAATAAAAAATTAAGTTAAATTTTCTTATTGCGGTCGACCCTCGACAGGGAATGTCAATCCCTCCGAGTGTATTTCGGACATGAAATAAAGCTCCTCCTAGAAAAACTATCATCCGTTCGGAGGCGGTATAAACTGTAGGTACCTCCATTCATTGGAAAAACATCAAGACGCAAAACCACAAATAGGAGGAGGAGCTCGGCCGAAAATCGCTAAGTGGTTACAAAGCACCAATTATATATATATATATAGAAAAGTATTCAAATTCTCAGACAATGTAGTCAAATTGTTTGAGTTTCCGACTTCTTCTCCTTCCTCTTCCGTCGTACTGACGTAGACAACCCTTACGAGTTAATTGCAGCGCATCATTCATTCCTTTCTTGTGATGTCTGGTTCCAATTGGAAATACCTGTTATAGCGAGGACTTTCCAACGGAGGTGATATCTTCCTTTACCTTTGCTTTTGCTGGGGATACTGCAACAAAAACTTTCTAAGCTAGGGAATTCTTATCCGTCCGGGCTACATGACCTAGTCGCTGTTTCTTGCACGGAGAGCGCGCAGGTGATCATAAATTTTTTGCTCTCAAATCTCCCAACGCAAATTCATGAGTAGTTGTCCTCGTTCATACTTCCTCACCGTATAGCAGGTCGGGAATGATGAGCGAGTTGTAGATTTTGGTCTTTGTTTTGGGTTTCAGACCACTTAGGTAGAATTTGAGACAGCTCTTTCAGGATAGAATTAAATTCAACACAATTTTTTCCTCAGATCGACCTACTCGATTTGGGCCAACAACACTATCCACGCTATCTAATGAATGCTGTTTGCCAAAATAATCAATCTCCCAATGAATATCCGCAAAAATGCTGGCGTGGATCCCACTGTAAGCCATTGGAGTATAAAGTAAAGGTACTCACACCGCGAACCCTCTCGGACCCGCCACAAAACGATCCGGCATTGGCGTGGCTACCCGATGAGCTGCGACAAAAATGGAAATTCAAGACAATACCCGTGGCGGCTGGTTGTTTTTGCTCGTACTGAAGATGATGTGGACCTAATAATTGGAATGAACTTATTATCGAACTGATCGACTGTTAGTTATATATAAAATATTGAAGAGACATATATAATATTACAAACAAATACGTATAATTCTTACACACATATTTATTTACACCAAAAATGTTGTTGGTGTAACCATGTGATAAATATTATTGTATATATAAACTAGTAGCTTGGAAATGCAAAATGTGTAAAAAGTACACTCACAGGAATTTCGAAAGGCAATTTTTATTCGGAGAGCTTTTAAGAGATCCAAGGGCTTCATTAAGTGTTGAGTAAAACATCACTTCCACTAGAGAACAATATGTTGGCTTTGGTTTTGGTGCTTCTCTGAACAAGAGCTTAATAAAAAGTGAGAGTTTTGAGGTAGAGCTTTGATTGCTAGCACTTTTAGAGCTTCGTGATACTTATTTAACTAAAGTACGGGATATCTACGTTCATCGGCTAGTGATCTCCAAAGTTTGAAGCTGGTATGACTCGGGTTTGGTAACTATTTGAAGGTACCGACATTTGACCTTATAACCAGGAGAGAAACTAACCAGTTCTGGCACGTAGGCACATTTATAGCTTAAAAGCAGTAGAGTAACTTTAAACAGATATAATTCAACGGTGCCCTCAGAGCTTCGGATATGGTCTACAACATTTCTGGAAGGACTTTTATTTTGATTTCAAAGCAATTACTGGAGCTTCGTGGCTCCAGAACAAATACATATATTTTTGAAGCGATATGGTTTCAAAAGATTTTCAGAATGGTCTTGACTTTGGAATCACGATAGCTCTGAAACGATGGCCACCGTTAAACCAAGGAATGAGGCCGAGTTTGACATGATGATTTCACCGTAACAACGATACCTTTTAGGAGGTACTAACTTGAAATGAATAATAACTAGAAGTAAGCTCTGTATTTATATTGATATTCTGTATGTAATTATAATGGAGAGACCTTTTCCCTCGTGGATCTTTAACCAACGTAGGAGATATATTATTTCATCCAGTAGTAGTTCTTGCGATCTCAGCAACTCACCTCTTTAACATTATTTCGGATCTCAGTGACCAGATATAACAGCAGCACAGTGTGGCTTGAGCCCTGGCAAATCTACAATTGATTTTAAAGCTGCCTTCGATGCCATCATCACCCTCAACAACAGCGCTGTTGGCTAAGGAGACGAGGTAAGTTATTTAGCCGAACGTTGCGCTGTTATTAACTCGGCTATAATCGCGTAAGCACTCTCAACGCCAATAATGAGAAAGAAGCAGGGAGCCCAGTAAATTCAGAGCATTAATACCTCAAGAAGAGCATTGTAATTGGAAAGTGAATGTGAAGAAGAAGAATAGCGGATAATTTAGCACACTTAATAGTTTTTGGTTAATAAGGAATTGAATAATGCAACAAGGGATTACATGGCTGATGTTGGCGTAGTGGTAGCGCACTTGCCTGTTAAGTCAGGATACGTTGGTTCGATCCCTGTCAAAAGAAGTCTGATGATGAGATGTGGTGATCTCCGAAACAGCGGTCACTCTTTGTTGTATAACAAAAAATATTCATTTCAAACAAACAAATAATCCTTTGGCTCACTATAAGCTTAAAACAAGGGGAAGGACGTTTATTCTGTCTTCGAACCAATTTCGGGAACTACAGTCACTCCAAAACAAAGTCCACACAAATCATATTTTCGAAACGATGTTGCCTATGGAAGTATTTATGAGGGGATGAGCGGTCATAACTTCAAAACAACGACAGATCTGAGGCGATGGTTCAACTCAGGACCATAATAATGGCATCAGAGTAAGTTTTAATAACTTGAAATGAAATCTACCTTTGGAAGCTTAAGATCTTTAATTAAAAGTTATTTTTTTGGGTCAATTAGTGACTATATTTCAATATTTACGAGCGATAAATTCAAATCCAATCCTGAGATATTGTTCCTACGAAGTTTAAACATTGGAATGACGTCGGTATTGACATCAGTAGGTTTTCATTGGGAAATAATTCCTTGCAACAGTAGTTCGAGCCTTCTCCGAGCCTTAAAAAAATTGACGTAAAGTTGCTTAGATACCACAATGCGAATGCGTAGCTTACGAACACTTAAGTACAGTAAATCCAGTTCCCAGCTGTTTCAAAGAAAATGTGAGATAAGAAAGGAAATTTTTTTATTTTCATTCTTTTTCTTTCTCAAAATTCACGTAAACTCAGAACAGAAATTGTTCAAAAATATATTGTCAATGTAATAGACATTCACGAGAACCAACATTTCAGAGATGAACGGTGGACGCTGCGACGGCTGTAGCACGCAATTGCAACCGTGTTGTCGATGCGGGCGCGTGCCATCCAATCTCGCATTTCTCAAAAAGATATTAAACACGCCGCAAAAGAACACAAAGTGTCCGTACAAATATCCCAGATGCCTTACACTGCGCGCAGGTGGCGAAAGTATCGATTGCTTGTGCAGTCTGAGCGAAGATTTGGCTGTAGATCGACGTCTACAGACATGGGAGCGCGAGCTCGAGATACGGAACAATCTAGCGCAGCGCCTAATGCAACGTACGGGCAAATCCTGCTGTGAGCTGCTCTTCAATCGTGCTGTCACTGTAGATGGGCGCGACAAATTGATGATGCAGCGACTGTTGGCGCATGCGGAAAGCAGAAATCCGCGCACGTGCCACCAAAAGGCCGTGATCAAAGAACGTTTTCTCAACGGATGTTGTCTAATGGAATTAAGTTCGAAAATACCAGCAACAAAAGAGTACTTTGAAGTTACAGGCTTGCCGGCGGGCATGAAGTGTGAGCTAATCGGCGAAAATTGCTGTGTGCGGCGTTCGGGTTGGATTAGCTCGCAAGGCGTGCTGGAAAGTATAGCTTCGAAAGGAAAGGACATCAAACGGGTTGTACCATTCTTTCCAGACATTGAATATTTACAAATTATTGGCAAGAAAATGTCTATTCACCAGCAAACCGAGGACTTTGCGGCAGCGGCAGGCGCTTGTTGTTCACCCTGTTGCTTGTCAAGCAACGAGCCAAATGATGAAACTTGCGTCGATGAAAAAAGCTCGCCAATTGTCAGTTTCGCCAACATGGACGAGGTAATTGATGATGAACTTTGTACCATTGAGACCTGCAGAGCGTACGCGAATCGTAACGAACGCATTGACTTGGATGCTATCGAGGAATTTTGCACGAACGATGCTTGCCCAGCTTACGTAAGCACCAAGGATATCCGGGTTGAGGAAGGTTTTAGCGCCAACAATGCTTGCTCAGCGTTTGTGGACCACGAGACCTGTGGATTGGCAGAAGATGATAATGAATTTTGCACAAATGATACTTGGCCAGCTTCTGTGGGTCAGCAGGACTCAAACGACACGCAAAGTTGTGACGATATTTGCATTGGAAAAATTTGTGCGGCTTTTGCGAATTACGAGAAGCCCAGACTCGCGCGGAACGTTAACAATTCTTGTAACAACGATACTTGTCCAGCGTTTGCTAGCCCTGATTGCAGAAAAGAGGCAAGTAATGTTGAAATCTGTAACAAGAATACTTTTGAAGTGTATGCCGCAGATGTTGCTACACCCAAGAGATTTTGTAAAGCTACTTGCAACAAGAAGACACAACGGAAATGTTCCAAGACTCGTAAAAAAACTACGACAAGAAAAAGTGTACAAGTTGAGGAGACGCCGAGCTGTTCAGACTACGAGCCGGACTACTATAACGAGCTCATTTGTAATAGAGCAAAATGTCACGATATCTTCTATCGGCCGAGCAGTAGCTAGTGGCTGGCATAATTAAGAAGAGGAGCAAATTATGCAAATTCACACATACATATATTTGACGAGTACTTACTAATAGCAAATAAGAGCGCTCGTGAATTATTAGTTGTCAGACTATGGTAAACCATATGCTTCGATTAGCTTGATTCGGTATTTTCTACTTTGAGTGTTTGTATACCCAGCGTTTGGGTGAGGATATTTATATGGATTATTAAATTTCTGAATTAAATTCAGTCGATGACAATTATAACGCTCCATTGTATTATTTTAAAATATTTAAACTAAAAATCTTAAATCAGCAAAGAAAATAAAGATACTCAAACACAAATTTATCCTTTTCTTTTTATTTTTATTATACTTTTTTCGGCAAATTTATTGCATACAAATATGCTAAAACTAGAAGACTATTTTTCAAAAAAAAAAAAAAAAAATCAATTTGATATAATGTTGTTGTTATAAATAACTTCTTAAATTGTGCATTCATCATTGGTTTTTAGTAATAAAAAAGTACTTTTTTCAGTTTGAAAAGTACTTCTCCATGAGTAGAGGTTGATTTAATTATTAAATGAATATTTATAAAAAATTCTAAAACGCAAAAATTATTCAAGTTTAAAAGTAATTAATTCAACTTTACAAATAATTAATTAATTATTATTACGTTGTATTATTTTTTTAATATAAATTTTAGCGTACTTAAGTTTTTAATCTATTTTACTTTTGTTGCTTACAATACATTGAAAGCCTCATTTTAAGTGATTTTACGTGCATTAAGAGTCTTCAAGTTTGAGTTTACATAAAGCATTTTCTATTACGAGCAGAACTTACAATTTTTAAGGCGCTCGATTCTAGTTGATGGACAAATTGATTGAAAAACTAGCCTTTAGTTAAATTTAAAGAGTGCAAAATCTGTTGATGTTTAAAAAAATATATTTGCTTCAATTAGTTTTTCCGCATTTCTGGCGCAAAACTGATTTCAAAAGTTTTATTTTGGCTTTAAACAGCAGCAAAGCATTTTGGATTTTATTATTTCATTTAATTCAATTCAATAACATATTTAAATACATATATAGTACATGCATGCACACGCATATGCATTTATGTATCTGCTTTTTGTCTTCAAAGATTTACCAAACAGAAAGAAAAAAATAATTCAAAATTTTTTTTATCACTGAATATTTGCTTTCCCCCTCGTTAAATAAGCTTATGTCTATGAAAGTGTACTAATCACTCTCACTAAATACAAATCGTACACGCAGTTCGCATTACTCCATCTCACACATATTTACATACATACTCTTGAGCTTAAATAATTACTTAAAGACTATTTATTGAAAGAATATAAGCAGTCAATCCCACATGTTATGTTGCTGCTGTGCTGCTTCTTAATGTAGAATTTGTAGGTGTTGCTGGTGCGTCTATTGGGTTCGCAATCTCCACATTTACATCGTCCTTCTTGGTGTCAGTCTCACCGGCATTAACAATACATGGCGTGGGCGTACGCAAATCTTCCTCTTTTACTTGTGTTTCTGTGCTCTTCACAGGCGTCATTATTTTCGCTGACTCTTCCATCGCCTCTTTCTTCACTATCACCGGATCAAGTGGCAACTCATCGACTACCGCATCTAGATTGAGCGCATCGTAGGGTGTTATAAAATCAGTACTGCCCCCACCAGTGCGTATGCCAATTTGTGACACGCCACCTAAGCCATTATCTTGGAATACTACACTACCACCGAAATGTACCATACTACCGCCACCAGCGGCGGCGGCGGGAGTAGTTGCACTGCCTTCCGCTTGTTCGCCAGTGTGTGTCTCCGAGGCGGGTGTGTGTGGCGTGCTGCGCGAACGATGCGCATGGTGTTGCCGTATGGCTAGCGAGAGATCCACCTCAATGTCCGAGTCCATCTCGTTCTCAGAGAGCGAGAGTGACGTGCCGGCGCGTTTGATTTTTATCTATGAAAGGCAAATGTGAGAAATTTTGTTTTCAATTTTATTTTTTAAGTAAATTGGATTATTACTACTCACCCGCTTATAGGTTGAGGGCTCAGAGATGTAACCGTCGTAGTCTTCGTCTTCACTAAACAGATAACTTTGATGCAAGTGCTCATTACTTGTGTAAGTCTCGGGTAACTTGCACACAATATGCGCTAAATCGATGAATGTGTAATCGCTTAATGTGCCGGGATTCTCCTTCTTAAGTGGCTCCTTATTAAACCATTGATTAAAGCGTCCTAAACGGCCCGCCTTAGCCATGGCATCGAAATAGTTTTTACCAAAAACATAACCAACATCACGTATCTCATCAAAACTGCCAAAAGCGAGTGTCTTGTATTTGTCAATTGGTGGGCGTATGTACTCGCAATATTCGGAGTTTTTCACTTCCTAAAACGGCGAGAGTAAAAAATTATTTCACTGTGTAGAAGGGAAATATATCTTTTTAATTCCACTCACCTCCAGTTGACGCACGCAGGAAACGTACGCCAGACGTGATTGTATATCCGGCAGATCAGGCACCTTCACCGGTGTTGTAAAGGGGTTCCATTTTTTATATAGCAACCACCAGCCGGACAGGTCATCACCGTAATTTGTCAAGTCCATATCGTCCTGTGAGCCCACATCAATGGCTATAATATGCGCAGCGCCCAAATTGTGCATGACGTCGGCTATAATATATGAATTATGATCAGAAAAATATACTAATGCTTTTTTTTAATGGTACTACGTAAAAATTCGGTCACTCATACAAATCAGGAGCCAATTGCCAAGCCAATTTTTTATGGAATAAAATTATATGCAGAGGGGAAATTCTGCAAAATATGTTTTTCTTCTTTTGACGCCGCCTCAACTCAACCATTCATACAAGGCGAACAAAGTGTAGTAAAAACAAATAGCTGCAGTAATTACAATTAATGTTTCCGACTTATAATTTAAAATTAAAAACACATGTAAAAAATAAATTAAAAATTACTAGATAAACAATATAAAATAAATTTAAAAAAATAAAACAAAAAGTTAATAACTTCAATTAATAAGTAAAAAGTTAAAAAAAATATAAAAATATAAAATAAAAATATAAAATAAAAAAAAACTAAAAAAAAAAATTAAATAATTAAAAACTAACAAATAAAAAAAAACATTAAAAATTAACAAGATATAAAATTAAAAAAAAAAAAAATTTTGAAATATGTGTACAATTAGTAAAAAAAAAAGAAAAATATTAAAATAGTAATAAACTAAAAACAAAATTATATTAAATCAACAACAAAAATTAATAAAAAAAAATAAATATTTAACTAAAAATTTCTTGAAAAATAAAAATAGTCAGAAAAAAATGTAAATAACAAGAAATAAAAAATTAAAGAATATTAAAACATATTAAGAAACAAAAAAAATTAAAATTAACAAAATATTAAAAAAAAAATTCCATTAATAGAAGAGAAAATTAAACAAATTAAAATAACAGCAAAAATTTAAATAAAAAAATTTTGAAAATGTACAACTAGTCGGAAAAAAATGTAAATAACAAAAGACAACAAACGAAATAAAATTAAAAAATAATAGAAACAAAAAATTTAAAATTAACAAGAAATTAAAAAAAATTCCATACATAAACATAAACAAAATGAAAAAGATTAAAAAACTCAAAAAAAAAATTAACAATTAAAAAAAAAAAAAAAGATATACATAATAAAAAAAAAAAAAATCAAAAAAAAAAAAAACTAATAGGAAATATAATCAAAAAAAAAAAAAACAAAATTAAAAATAAACATGAAACAAAAAATAAAATAAAATTATATAATTATAAAAATTTAAGAAATAAAACGTAATATAATATCCAAAATTAAAAAACAAGAAATTATAAGAATTGAAAAGTAAAAAATGAATAAAAAATTAATAAAAACAAAAATTAAAAAAAAAAAAAAAATTAAAATTAAAAAAAACTCAGTAAAATTAAAAATTAAAACTAATAAAAACATATGTTAAAAATTAAAAATCTAAAAAAATTAAATGAAAATACAAAACTAAAATAGGAAACATTAAAAGAAATACCAAAATATTAAATTTAAAAATGAAAATAAAAAATTAAATTTATAATATGAAAAAAATAATAACAAGGAATAGAAAATTAATAAAAAATTGAAAGTATAAAAAATAAATTTAAAAAATAAAAAGAAATATATATAAAAAGTAAACACAAATATTCAACAGAATAAAATGTTTAAAAGAAAATAAAAAGCAAATTACAAAGTAAATGAAATATTTAAAAAGGGCATGCGAAATAAAATCTTAAACAATCAATTTTCTCATTGTCAGAGCAAAAAAAAACAACGAAGTCATATTATATTTGGACTTAACAACTACATGCAAACACATGCATAAATATTCACATTCTGATTTTGACAAGCTTTTGAACCATTATTGCTTTAAAATAAAATGGGAGGACATACAACGAATAGAGATGGAAAAAAATAAAAATAAAAAAACAAATCAAAATATGCCAAATAGAGTGAGTGGCCCAAACTAGTATTGTAATTTGGAGTGGAGCTGTTTAGTTCAACTGTTACTAACTAATTGCTGTGCTAAGTAGTGTGCTTTATTACCTGGTACATTATTGGTGTAACAACCATCGAGTAGCAAATGACCGTCTCTATAATCGCAAAATGGTGGAAAGACGCCGGCAATGGACATACTTGCACGGGCATAACGCCACAGACATCCTTTTGTTGTTGTGTTGGTTGTAGTAGGAGTGACACACACATACACATACACGGACATATGTTGCATTGTATTGCATAATTGCATATTTTTTCATTTTATTATTATTATTTTTTAATTTGTTCAACACAAATTTAGTTTCAATTAAAAGATATGAAAAAAAGAATATAAAGAAAAAAAGATTACATCAATTAATTATTTGTTGGCATTAAATAACGCGAATTACTAGCGGAGAGTGCGCTTTGGGGACGATGATAGGCAAGTTAGGCAAGTGAAGTTGCTGGTACGCAATTATGTGTATGTAATCTTGTCTACATTAGGCTCACACACGAATTTCAGGGTAAATAAAGGCTTTTCGTAAAAAACCACCAGTCGTTCGGAGGCGACATAGTATAAACTGAAGTCGCTTCGAAGCCAAAAAAAAAAAAAAAAAAACATTTCAAAACTGACTTTAGTTAGTGACCAAAAGTTGCACTAAAACAAAAAAAAATGAAACTTTTCGTAATTGTCAATAAATTAATTAAAACAAATAAGATAAAAATAATTTTTTAAATTGTTTTTTTTTTATTATAAAAAAAAATCACAGAAAAAGTTGCCTATATCTAGGCGCATTTGAAGACAAATGGGAGTGCGAGGTGAATAGTGAACGTTGAAAGACTCGCCCACTAAGAACCTAATTCTTGGACGTTTTCCTAAAATAGCATTAAAATTTGACGATACATAATAATTAATTATTATAATTAAATTAATTAATTTTTAATTCATTATTTTCTGCTTTTCTGCTTTTTATTAAAGAAGTACAAATTTTGTTTGTTGTTCAACTTCACTTGCCAAGTTATGTAATAAATAGCTGAAAGAAATTTTTTCTTTTGGGTTTACAAATTTATTTTGTTATAGTAACTGTGAAGTGTAGGTGTATAGGTTGCCACTTTTCACCTTCGTGACTCATGAATTATGAGAAAAAAAAAATTTAACTGAAACACATTCTGAGTTTTTTACACTATTTTTGTTTTCAACCACAAAATAAAATACCGCAGATCAGAGAAGAAATTAAAATATGGCATACTTAAGGTTAGAAAAAGAACTGAAAATTAGTTGGGCTGGGGTTGGTGTTCGATACAATGCAAATAAGGTGTGCATAGCAAATAAAAATATTTGTGTTGTAATACTTACATATAATCCGCTTAGATTTTTGACCATTTGAAGACTAAAACATGCACACAAATAGAAATTGAAAAAAAAATATAAAACTAAAAAGGACATTTTCTCAAGCAAAACTCACTTATCAACTAACACTACCAACAACGTGGATATACGACAGCAGGCAATTTAAGAGTGTATTGAGTATAGTCACATAAATATTTGGACTTAATGTATAAACTAACAACTAGGAAAACAGTGTAGTTTTCACAGAAAACAGTCAGTATAAACTTATAACTGATAGAAAAAAATCGCTTTAAAAATTTCCGCTCTGCATTTATTAGCTCACTTACTGGCAAAGAAATACAAATAAACCCATACACACACACACACACACACACACACACAATCGCTTTACGCAGTTGTTTTTGCTGTTTCGTACTTTCATACTCAATTTACCTGGCAAATTGTTAACGTATCCACCGTCCAACAGCAGATGCCCGTCTTTTGGATCGCACAAGGGCGGCATGTAACCGCTAAGCGACATGGATGAACGTATATAACGCCATAGAGATCCTGTTGTTAAGATTTTCGGTAACGGTAATGAATGTATAAACGTAATGCAGTGGTAGTAAGTGCGCAATAAAAAGTTGGGAAAATAATTTAATCATTATTTTTTTTTTTTAATAAATTCATAATTCTGATAATCGTTTATGTGTTGTTGGACGCGACACATGAGTTGGCAAAGTCTTAATTAATGTGTTTTTTGTATGTAGTGAAACGTGAAAACTTTGTAGATAGTTACTTAAATACTGACTTATTGGCATTGTATAATAAACCGAACATAAAACGAAAATTTTTCTCTTTCCATAAGCTATGAAAAAGGGTTAAATCACTTTATCGTTAGACGCACATAAATATAGTTTACACAGCGTACATATGTAGGACAATTGTAATTTAAATAAAAAAAGAAATACTTTCCATATTAAAAGCGTTCATTTTAATACTCTTACCAAAAAGTGTTCGTTAAAAAATATTAAAGAAATTATCAAGCCCGAAATTAATTAATCGGAATAAGTGTTTAAATTGCAGCAAAATTTAAATATAACACAGTAAAAACTCGCTTCAAATATGGCGACAGTAGCTGCTCTAGCGTTCGTCTTGTTATATGGTGCGAAAGCATGGACAATAACAACATCTGTTGAGTCGGCGTTAGGAGTTTTTGAGAGAGAGGTTTTGCGCAAGATTTATGGTCCTTTGCGCATTGCGCATTGGCAACGGCGAAAATCGCAGACGATGGAACGATGAGCTGTACGAGTTATACGGCGACATTGATATAGTTCAGCGAATCAAGAAGCAGCCGCTTCGCTGGCTAGGTTATGTGGTCCGGATGGATGCCGGTGGAAGCAGAGGGAGAGGAAGACCTCCACTCCGTTGGAAAGACCAGGTAGAGAAGGACCAGGTTGTACTTGGTATTTCGAATTGGCGCCAAACAGCAAAAATAAGGAATGAATGGCGCAATGTTGTTAAATCGGCCAAAACCGCGTAAGCGGTGTCTGCGCCAGTAAAGTAAGTAAGTAAGCTGTTCCAGCCCAGATAAGAGCTCGTAACGTTCTCTTCTAAATATACTATCGCAGCTGAAAGTATGACGGAGCTCGAGCTCTTGGTGATGGCTATGGGTGAATACTGAGCACGCTATTCAAGCTTTGAATGGCGGTTATGACCTATAAGTAAGCCATTCTGTCAAAAGGTTCGTTGTTGTAGTGCTGAACAGCGTCCTTTAAGACGAGTACATTCTCCTTGATGCTTAATAAGTAGGTCTTCCGTCACTGTCCTCAAAGTGGTGTTTTGTAGGCTTGTAGCTTCCTAAACTACGTCTCGCCAGTCTCCAGCGGCTAAATCAGTGCAGCGTAATTAATGTTGTTCACGGTATCAAAGGGTCTCGCTGGTTACAGTTGTAACTGACGAGAAGTGAAAAAGTGGGAAATGTCGGCTATATAGAAGTTTACTTTCGAAAAAATATGATCAATATACTGATCAGTATACGGGCTCAAGGAAACACCAACTGATGGTGGAGAGAACTTCGAAATATAAAGATTAAAATAACCGGGGAAAATAAATACATCACCACTTGTTAAATTTTCCGTGGTTTGGATTTTTGAACTCGAAACTGTGCCGATGCTTGTCGACGACTCGGGTAATTCATAGCCAATTTCTTCGATACCGGCGGTATTGAGGAATGATTGACGGTGGCTTTTGACAGATCCGATGATATAAGGACAGTTCGCGGGGAGGGCCGAGTTTGGTGGTGGTCATGTACTGTATTGGTGTTTATGGGGGCAAGTGCGCTTGTGGTACTGTGAACTCTCCGGAAGCCGTGCTGATGTGTACTAGGCTCAGCTGGTGTGTGAAAAACGGTAGAAGCAATGCTTCAGTTGTCTTCGCTACTGGGAAAGGAAAAGATATGAATATCCTTTGTTGGCAGGCTTTCTTCGGTTTGAAGATCACAGTTTCCACATCTCGGGTTTTATTAGGGTGGTCAGAGAAATTAAGGACTTTGGTCAGGCATTATGCTCCTGCTGGAAACAGATATTTTAATGCCAATATTCTTTCCCGGAGAAATTAAGCGCAGCGCTGATATTTAAAAGATTTGTCGGACAGCGCGGCAGTCGTCTCGTAATTTCGTTTTTTCGGGTTCAACAAGGCTCGGTCACCGAGTATGACATTTCTTTAACACTCACAATTGACGATTCTAAGCAATGGAGTTGACCCGTTAATCTAATTTAACTCAACATGTAGGACCTGAATGTAGTCAGAAATATTCAATTTTAGTCTATCTTCCTACGATACGCCCCTAGACTCAGGGTAACCGCCATAATGCTCACATAAAATGCTTTTTTTTATTACGAATTAATTATTTAAGTGTAAATGTTCTTGTGGTCATGCCTTAATTGCACTTTAAAGATATTTCCTACTGTTGTTACAGAGAATTATTTACATTTCACGCTTCCGAATTCCAAAAACCAGCACTCCAATTTAAAAGCAATGGCGGCGCTTGGCAGAAAGTCCGAATGTGTCTAACATTAAATAAAAGCTCCCTCCTTACCAGACCAAAAATCCAAATTTATTTTAATTTTATTAATTGTGGTTAAAAAGTACTGTTACAAGCTTTAATCCAGATTCGAAACAAAGCAAATGATTCCATCCATCTGAGCATTTTTGGAAAGGAAACAATTTATTAAAAGTAGAAAAAATAACCAAAAATACACAGGCATTTCTAAGTCTGTTGAAAATCTGCTCAAGCGTTGTAGGAAGGTAGATAAAATGACTTAGTAACTGAAATTTAGAAGCATGTAATGTCTAGAAAATATGATAACGGAGTCATTTGCGCCGAGTTGGTTAGAGGAAATAACCTCGCAAAATATTCTCCGATTAACTTTAATAATTTTTAAATTATTTTATTTTGTTTTGTGCTGCACATGTACATCATGGACGTTTTATTTTACCAAATAAGGTGGATAATCAAAAATTTTGCGAAAGTCAAAATATTCGGGTGATAAAAATCTAAAGTGCAAGTAAACAGTAAAATATTTAAACATCAAAACAACGGACTACAAATAAGAAAGCACAAAATTCAATGTAAAAATCTCAGAATATGTATATAAGTTTCGGCATAAACAAATATATGCATTTTTGATTGAAATGATGTATAAAGTTTAGAAAAATATTTGATATGTTAGACTATGACAAGAACTGGTGAAAGGACTTTGTTTTAAAATGTGTGAAGTGCGTTTAATAAAATTAAAACCCATTCCTAATACATCTTTTGAAAAATTGAAAAAGACTCAGACGAAATTAAGACTTCACTCTTACTGAAGTGCAAAATTAGACAGTCTTAAGCGTTGATGTTGATGGAAGAGGTATGTGAGCGCATATGTGTGTGAAAATGTGTACGCCAAAACTGCTGGACTTACCATTTGTGTGTATGCGATGGCAGCTTGCGGTTATATCAGTCGTTAATGTAAAGTAAGGAATCCATAGATCCTCAATGGCCACATCACCAAAAGTGTCGCGTATGGTTTTATTAAATTCGCGGCCAGAGAACATCGATGTAATCGGATAAGTGAGATCGAGCAATTGCAGGAACCATTTTGTCATTTTCTATACGAAATAAAAAACGAAAAGAAATTTTGCAAATACATACTAAATTTATAAATACAACGCAGGCAAATACCTTAGACCATTCACGCGCCTTCTGTGTAACGGTTGTTACATTGCGGTCCGAGCACCAGAGTGCGCCCATCAGCGCACCAATGCTGACACCGCCCACCATATCAACCGGTATACCCGCTTCTTGTATAGCCTTCAGCATGCCAATGTGTGCAGCGCCGCGTGCGCCGCCACCACCTAAGACTAACCCAATGGAGTTACCGGTTAGCCAACGTGCCAAACGCGAACAATCCGAATGCATATTCGGCTCTGACATGAGTACACGACTATACAAATCATTCTGTGTTGGGGAAAGGATTTTTTAATAATTAATTATAAATTTAAATGTGTAAGGAAGTTAAAACTCACAATGCGATATTGACTCTTGCGCGTGAACATACGCTTCGGACATTGCAGGTGGTGATGCTTAGTCACCCACGGTCGTACATTTAACCACTGTAGGGTGTTCTTCGGTTTCGTATTGCTTGATTCGTGATAGAGCAAGACGAGCTCTTTCTGTGTGCGCATTGCCAGGCGATCAATTTCACGTTCAAACTTACCCACAGTGGGAGGATGATCGCCCAAACCTACAATAAGTACAACGTCAGCTTGTCGCATACAACGTTGAGTCCAAGCGCTAAGCGCTGAGTCACACTGATACAAAGTGATTGTGTTGCGATCCTCCTGCTGTGCCAGCCAAGAGGTCATTCGATACTCATTACTCGGCTCGAATATATGCATGCCGAGCTGCTTACGTATGACTTCAGAGGTTAAACGCAATGTGGGACCTGTCAGTAAGAAAACAAAAACGATTGAAATATGAATTCAAGTTATTTCTACACACATTTAAATACCCACCGATGGCACATAATGAGTGATAGAGTTCATAGGCAAACGCTGTCAACGGCACATCATCGCTTACCGGCACGAGCGCTACAGTTGAGTATTTATGTGTAACTGGATTCGCTTCCAAAGGCGCTGCAGTGCTGCCAGGACGAGACTGCATTGTGCCTAATATACGATGACTCAGTAGGCTAATCAGCTTCGTTACAACAATGGGATACCGCAGTTTGATTGCATTGAAGAGGCCTTCAGGCAATTTGGCAAGTTCTGAGTCACGCACAGCCATCACTGTGGTTGTACGGCAAGTCTCTGTTATCATCTCCACCAACCCCACAAGATCACCTTTGCCATACTCGCCGATAATTTCTTTCTTACCACTCGCTTGTGTGATCACCGAACGCATACGTCCGCTAAGCACAATATAAGTACTGTCGCTACTCTCCTCCTGTCGGTAGACGGCGCGCCCAGACTCAAGGAATACCCAATCGAGCGCGTAGTCGCATTGACGTACCAGTGGCGAGAGACGACGCACTTCGCAGTTGCCGAGATCAAGTACGATGCGTGGACGTTCACGCATTAAGCTACAGGCATGAAGGAAATTAATTAAATTTATGCAAATTTATTGGTTACTCTAGAATACGTACGCATAAACGTCGGGACGTCGTATGAAGGCAAGTCGGGTTACATGTTTTGTTTTGATAGTGTAGGTGCTCGACTCGCCGGTGAGCACCGCCAAACCGCCAACTATTTCACCTGGATGCACTGTGTAGATGAACACATCGGACCGTTCCGTTTGTACGGTTCGCGTTACATCCACGTTGCTCTGATATACATTTAGAGCGCCTGTGAGCACAATCCAAATGCAAATATCCTGTGTAAAAGTAGAGAAAAAGATACTATTAATTTTTTAACCAGTCTCCCGCCTAACCCCACTAACTTACATCTACATTTCCTTCATTGATCAGAGCAATATTCGGTTCCACCTCAATCAACTGTACGAACGGGTCAATAAACGCGCGATCCTCTTCCGGTAAGCCAAGTTCTCGTAAGAAACTGTCCAAAGCATATCCGCGTATGCTCGCCAATTCAGCCGTCGCTGCGTTCGCCAAAGCTTCAGCGTGTATAAGTGAGTAGCGGCGCGTAACTAAGTTTCCAATGCTATTTGCACGCGAATTGGCCAGCGTGTGTTGACCGCCACCCGATGCGCCCCCACTAATACTACCTGTGCCTGTGCTATTTGCTGGTTGTGAATTGGGCAAGGCAGCTTGTATGCCCACATGTCTCTCTGTGTCGTGCGTCAAGTCCACCAGCATGTCCGGTGGTGGCATGAAGTCGGACAAAGAATGCTGTACCGAGTCGGGATGTGTCGAGCGGCGATACAGTGGCGAGGTTTTGATTATGGTCGCGCCCGCACTTTTCTTGATGCGCATATGACTTTGTACCAGCTCCGAATTGAGACCGAGATAAGTGCGCAGTGCTGTGAAGAGCACGCGCTGCAAGCGCACCATAATAACCTGTATGACACGTATCATAATGTCTGGATTCTCGTTGAAAACCTCTTCGAAAGCCTGGAGAAGTGAGAAAAGCGTGTTTAAAAACGAATTACATTACTGCGGCAATAACAAATGACACCTACTTGCATGGGTAGTCGTATAACAACAGACTTTTCCATCGCCTTCGCCGTGACAGTTCTATAGAAGCTCGGATTGCCCGACAGTACATCGATAAAGCTCAATAGCGATGTCACCGATTCACCCTTCTTCACGGTCTTCAACGAGAGCGTGCTGCCGTCGGCATTCGAAATGAAAACATGCACCAAACCGGACTGCACAATGAAGACACTATCATCGGAGTCTGTAATTTTAAAGAGATAATCTCCAGGTTCCAGCGTCAACACCTCCGTATGCTTGCACAACTTGAGAAAAATCGGTTTCTCAAAGTGCCCGAATATGCGTATGCTTTGTAGCATGTAAAGAGCGTCTGGCGGCACACGATCACCGCCCTCTATTGTCTCCTGCAGATATTCCGCCGGCGGCTCTACAGTATTTAGCAATGTTGGTATGTTTTCACGTCGCAGTTGGAGTATGCGCTTTGCAAAACGCATCACCGCCTTTCTTTTGCGCCCCTGACCGCCGTACACCTGACCGGATACACTTTTCACCTTCCGCAGCATACGTCGACCGTAGAAGAGCATTTTGTCGCGTTTACGAAACCGTAAGCCGGTCATGTCACCGGCAGCTCCCGACGATGAGCCACGCATTTCTGCTTCCAGCATCAGCTGGCGTTCTTTGTGCCGCTGCCATCGCTTGTAGAATATATACCAACCGATGATGATGAGTGTCAAGATGGAGACACTGATGTATAAGTAGATCTGCAGGAGGGATTAGAAAAAGTATAAGATGTTATAATCTTATATATATAAATTGAGAGCTGATAAAAAAGGATGATATAAATTACACTTGAACAAGAATGGGAAATGTCGTGATTATATAGGAAAGTTATATTATTAAGTATAGATAAGATATGTCATGTAAATGTAAATTAAGCCAAAGTCTAGGGTGAGCAACTGAGTTCTTGCACTGTGAAACTAAGCTGCCGTTAATCTAAAGCTCCCAGCGATACGATTTAGTTAGCTTCTTCAGCTGCGTTCTCTGGGTTGATTTAATCTTGTTTGCTAACTCCACTTCGCAAAGATTAGGCACTAAGCTCTACAGACAATTTCTTTTCCCGCTTCGACGTATTTCGTCTCATCGGAGATGTAGCCCGTTAGTCTTCTTCTTGTTTGCCCACCTTTGTGCTTGCATATGACGCAGGAGTATTTTTAGAGGTTGAGTTCAGTTTCCCTATTTCTCCACGAACGGTCTTACCCAGCTGAAACGCCGGTGTTCAGCACCTGATAAGTACCCACTATTTTATGCAATTTATAGGTCCTTCATAGCAAACATAAAGCCAGTGGGATCAGCTCAACCAGCGATCGGTTTCGCACTACGTTTACTCTATGCGCATACTCATGAATAATCTTCATTTACGGGCTTACAAAATCCAACTCGTGCAAGAATGGAAGCTTAACGATCATCAAACGCGTCGCACGTTCGGGCCCAGAACGAGATGACCACCGATATCAATTTCCAAAAGAAATTTCTCTTCAGTGACTTGAGCTTCGCATTTTTCCTCAAAAACGTTATAGAGCCGATCTCGTGCGATATAACACCTCTGGAGTACTTTTGGTGGAGTCTTGAGAAATCTGCTTGTCACTACGTTGCTGGTGACGTAAGATCCCAAGTCTCCCATGAAGATTTCCCTCTCCGCCCAATACATAGGCCGAGTTCGGCTCTCAACTTTAATGGGTAGATTTGATATCTCACTCATAAGAGCATTACAGTGGCTTAGAGGTTCGATACCCATTACAGAGAATAACGACATTAGACCGGGTAGCATTTCCGATCATATAGTATAACCGACTACAAGCACAAGAATACGAAGTTGGAAAAGTCATAGGAAGCTTAAATACCAGACGTTCTTGCTCAGAAGGTCACTGCGCATTTTACATGACCCAGAGAGCACTATGGAGAACCGAACTTCGCTACTTTGTTGGGCCAACTGGGTTAACCCAGAACTTTTTCCGAAAAAGAAAAAAACAATAAAGAATCGATTTAATATGTTAATTCTGCTCACTGACCGGCCGTTCTAATTACGCATTTATCTACATATAAGTAAATGTTATGCAACAAGATTTCCGGAATTGAGAAACTAATGTAAAAACAACAAAAAAAGATTAGAAGAATTATAGAACTGCTGCTGTTTGGATGCTGGGCGCACATGATAAACGGCTGTATGTACGTATGTATGTATGTGTGTGCGTCAAATACATCTCAACGTCGCCTGATATTTCTAAGCGCACATAAAATAATTTCATAATTATACATACTTACATACATACATACATCCAAATGTATAAGCACGCATATAAATGCACGTGGAGGGCTCGACTTATTGACATATAGACCGTAACCAGCGCCCGACCGCACATATTCAAACTGCTGTCAATATACGTCGCAGCATTTGCACTTCGAGAAGTGACTTTTGGGTTTTAAACAAATACAAACATATACATATACTTGTACATATGTATATATTGTATAAACTTGTATAACAACGGACGCTGTTGTGAATAACAAAATCAGCAAAAGAAAATAACAAAACAACATTAACAACATCAAAACCTCAGCAGCAGCAGCAATCTCAAACAGCGACAGCTACAGGCACAGAAATAGACACGACTACACAAGCAGGAAGAAAATAGTAAAGAAAAGTGAAAAAAACGCAAATTTTCGGCCAAAAGATTTTTACTTTTGCTGACACTAGATAAATAACAATTTCTGCAAGCCTTAAGATCTAGTAAAAACAGGTTAGCAGTTAGTAGTAGTTACATATTTCAATATTTTTTTTTTTAATTTTCTTCGTTGTTTGTAATTGGTTACCGGTTACTTAATACAGAAATGAACTTTTGAAATCCGATTTTTACTTTTGGCTGCTACAAATGCAAACTGTGCAAATATAAAATAGTCTTCTACCGGTTACCAATTACTTATTTTAAAAACCCGGTTTTTTGGTTTCTGTTAAACTGTTACTACAATAAACTTTTCGAATGTTTTGTTACTGTTTATTTAACACAAAAACCGATTAATGGTTACTTATTTAAAACAACCGGGTTTCGATGACCATTTTAGTTTTTCATTGAAAGTGTACACAATAAATCCACTCAGCTAAATATCTTTTCGGGAACTTCTAGATATATTTTTAACAATTTTTTTAATGATTTAAGTTTTTTTTTTTTAAATAATTAAAACTTCATACAAAAATAAATAAATACTAGCTTCTATACGCTGATGCTCTTGCAGAAAAAATAATAAGAAAGGTTACTCAACCTACCGCCAGTTGGCATTACAGTGGAAAGCTTAGCAGCGAAGTCAGTTGTAGGAATTGACGTCTTTGGGTTAATTTCCTCAGCGACTTGCAGAAACGCCAAGATCATGGCGATTTGCAGAACGGCTGTTGGCGTAATGAGAGGGAAAAGGTATAAGTGAGAGGCTAGAAAGGAGGTCACCTTTGCTTTGATATCTAGGCGCCTGGCTGTTCAAAGATTAAGATAATAATTAATAATCTTGAAAAGTACAGTGCTTGTGGAAGTTTATGTGGAACGGCGAGCGCCGATAAGCCATGACAGAGAGTGGTTGCGACGCTTCAAAAGTGGTAATTTTAGCAACGAAAACAAAGTGCCAACCTCACCAACCCGAAAAGTTTGAAGATAGAGAATTAAAGGCTCTACTGGATCAACATCCGTGCCAAACGCAAACTAAACTCGCAAAATCCTTAGAAGTGATTCAGCAAACAATTTGCGTTCAGTTAAAGCAATTGGAATTTATTCAAAAGTAAATCAATAGGGTACGAGTTGAAGTGGAGACATATCGAAAGGCGATATTTCACCTCGAAACTGCTTCTTGAAAAACCTCGAAGCAAATGATGTTTGTAAAAAGTGCATATACAACGATAGCCCCGAGTAGAAAAACATAATACTATGCCAAGCGGGTTCATCAGTTCTATCATCGTCTACAGGGGTGGAACCACTCGGGTGTGGTGTACTATGTGCTGCTACAACCAGCGTGTTATCGATTACAGCAAATGCGTTTTAGCCATGCAAAACAGCCAAAAAAACGGTCGGCAGCCATAACAAGGTGACATTGCAGCGTGACAACGCTCGTACCCGCCGGGTTGTAACGACCAAGAACTACCGGGAAACGCTGAAACGGAGGCCTTACCCCACTCCTGACTTTGCACCTCCCGACTATTGGCTTTTTCAAAGAATGACTCAATGATTGTACCGAAAACAAAAAAGACTCGTATTTTATAGATGGAATTCGAAAATTACTGGAGATGGGAAAAAGTAGTCACTTTCGACAGACAATAATTTTAATGATGTATGTATTTCTCAATTTTTTTTTTATAAAAATACCGTTTTCAACACAAAAAAGGGAACAGAATTAATTTGTACTACCAATATTAAAAAAAAAAACATAAGTGATTCCTATTAATTTCATCCACCGTAAGTAAGGCACTAAATTCCAGTTACCGGTTACTTATTACGAATAACCGGGTTTGAAACTCATTAGTAATTATTTTTACTGATCTAAGGAAAATTTTTTAAAGAAGACATAAATATGTTTTACATGCCAGTGATTGCTTAACCCGGTTTAAAATTCGGTTACTTTTTGCAAAACTTGGTATAAAAAAACCCATTCATTCTAATTGGAACTATGTATGCATTTATTATTATTGTATATTTTCTTGATGTATAACATAATAAGAAAATGTAATATTTTTGGCTTTTTTTAACTTGTAAGTCACTTTTTTTTCAAAATAATAATGAGAAACAAAATCAATAATCTTATAATATTGTTTTAATGCACACTTAGTAAATACAAATCTACATTCGATAAATTCGCTTGTCAGCCGCTTAAAGCGAGCATAGCTGATCAAATGTGTGTGTGTGTGTGTGCATGGCCTGGGGTGTTGTGGGCGGAAATTTGTTTTGTTTACTTCTCGAAATGGCAAAAGGTGGGCGGGAAGACATGCATAGGTGATGCTAGTTTTAGTGCAAGTGCAGCGAGTACACACAAACATACCGGTATACATGTGTGTATGTATGTATTTGTATACAATGAAATGTATATTTATGTATGGGCGAGTTTTTGCTTGCGACTTGATTTCCGTGTTGCGGTTGCATTCAGTGCGTTTATATATACATACTAGTACATGTCTATATGTATGTATGTATGTATTTTATTATTTTCAAAGTATCGGTGATTTATTTTTGTTTACTTGCTTAATATGTATGTTAGCTTCGTGTGTATGTTTGTATGTTTATTGACATTTGTTGATTCAAATATGAGTAAGTTTATTTTCCTATGCTTGAGTTGAGTGTGTTTGTATGCATGTATTTACACGTATATAGACATTTTCTTAAGTCAATTTCGATGCCAGCAAGTGCAGTAAACAAATAAAGAATTTTAGGAGAAAAAAAATCACTTCGCTTGCAATTATTATTAACATTTCATATTATTATATTTTTTTTCGCGCTTAGATTTTTTGTTATTGTTTTACATGCATTTGAGTGCGTAAACAAAAATATTGTTGTCATTGTTTACATTATGCAAAAGTTGCGGGAAGGGAAACTAAATTTTTCTTTTTTAAGTTAAGTTTATTGAAAAATAGATATAATTCAAAGGTGTAAACAAATGTTTATGTGTATGAATGTTAACGAGTATCAACAATGTGTTGAAATAGTTGATGAAAGCTAGAGAAGTTAATACGTATGTATGTATATAAATCTAGTCAGCAGTTTATAAGATATGCTTATGGATTGGCATATTTACATATATAAATACGAAAAGTTCCTATTGTATGTAAAACGAGTATAAAGTTGCTAAAGTATATTTTTTGCTTGGATTTATTTGTCTTCATTATAAACATATTTATATATAATTGGCGCATTGTAACCGCTGAAGAGATTTTTCAGCCGAGCTCCTTCTCCAATTTGTGGTTTTGCGTCTTGATGTTTTCCCAACAAATGGAGGGACCTACAGTTTATACTAAGCCGCCCCCGAACGGCTGACGGGTTTTTTACTAGGAGCCTTTATTTCATGTCAGAAAAATCACTCGAAGGGGTGGACATTCCCTGCCGAGGGGCGACGGCAATTAGAAAGCTCAACTTAATTTATTATTTAAATTAATTTTCTATAACTTCCGGATGTTGATCGCATGGAGATTTGAACCCGAGCCTTCCGAATGTTAATGCGCCATCCTAACCACTCGGCTACCGCGGCCGCCAAAAATGCACTTGAAGACACTAGGCGATTTTGGAGGCGTGAACTGTCTCGGCATCCGTCTTGCGCTCTGACTTAGTCATGCCAAGATTATTGTGAAGGTTTTTAGAAATGATTTTATCGGCTACTCTAACAATTTCATCGCTTTATAGGGAACTTAATAACGGCATGATTTTAACATGATAACAATGAAATCTGTTACAGCGCTAATGAGCCCGATCATTTCGCGCATGAAAACCCTTCGTTTAGACGTGAATGGAAAAAAGGTTAGTAAGTAGAATACTAGTTCTATACATACCGATGTGTCCATAAAGGACTATGGGTGAAGACGGGTGTATACTCCAAGGATTTTGATCTCGCTTTCCCTCCAAGGATCTTGACATCTCTATTTCTCTCACCAAGGATCTTGATATCCCTCTCTCTCTCTCTCTCGTCATGGATCTTGACATGTTTCTCCCTTTCTCCAAGGATCTTGACATCTCTATCTCTTTCTCCCTATCTTTCTTACTCTCTCTCTCTTTCTTTTTTCCTTTCTTTCTTTCTTACTCTCTCTCCATATTTTTTTCCCTCTCTCTCTATATATCTCTCTCTTTCTCTCTTACCTCCCTCTCTTTATCTCTCTTTCTCTCTTATCTCCCTCTCGTTATCTCTCTCTCTCTCTTACCTCCCTCTCTTTATCTCTCTCTTTCTCTCTTTATCTATCTCTTTTTACTCTTTATCTCTCTCTTTCTCTCTTTATCTTTATCTTTCTCTGTCTCTCTTTATCTCTCCCTCTCTATTTCTCTCTCCCTCTGTCTTTCTCTCCCTTCCTATACGTATGCCGAACTCAAAAAGGTCTTTAATATCATCGGTGAATCAATTTGACATCATCATAATATGATTTTTCGTCATAGAAAACTGTTTGGAGACGAAAAATCTCACAAGTTGGTACAGTCAGCTGCTTCTCTTGGCGTATTCTAAGCAGAGATAAACAGGATAAAGGTTCACATACAATTTGAACAAGTAACGCAGAACAGATGGAAAAACACGTACATTTTAGGACGGTCCAAGTATTAAAGAAAAATGACTAATAATAATAAGCGAATACATATATAGGATTCCAGTCACAATAACATGGCATTGGATTTTTAGAGAGCATGCACTTTGAAGGGATCTGCTCTACAACAACACTTGCCACAGCTGCTAACTGGAAAGCGGAAGCAGAAAAATGTTTTCCATTTTCTCTCCGTGAGTACCCCACTCTTTAATAAACTCGACATAGAACACTTGGAATACAATCCATTAGTTACCTAAACTTGAATGGTTGCCCATAAAAGCACCAAAATAAGGCATCTTCCGCTAATTGGGCACGATTTTAAACCTCTCGGGCAAGACTTTCAGCTAACCATCTAACGAATGCCTAAGGAAATTTATGATTAAAACAAAGGGTGTTTTAGTTTCTTTATCGTGAAATTCTTCTTGCAGTTTAATAGAAATTTTCTTCTTTTATTTATTTTTTTTTCCAATTATTTAACATGATATGATGATAAGTATTTTGTTCAAAGAAATACACACATATTTCATATTAATATCCGATTGTACGAAATGATTGAGGAAATTTGCAAAAATTTATTTATTCAATTTTCTGCCAATAAAATAATTATGTGCGGGTCAAATCTGTGCGCACCCAATCGCCTCAATGATATACGTGTACTCACGGTAATGCGGTTACTTGGGGTCAATTAAATGATCGGATGTTGCTCGAGTATATATAATATATAATGTACATATATGCACGCATACATTTAATTAAACTTATATCGTATATATAATACATACATATATATTTATGTTATTTTTTATTATTATGGTTTGCTTTAATTTACAGTTTGAGGCATGTTTGCTGCAGCTTAATTTAAATATATGTTGTTTCTATGTCGATTACGAGTAAAGGAAAAAAAACAATAATATTGATAAGATAAGCGCACTTGGTTAATCCCATACTGATTAATAGTTAAGCATTACTGCGATTTTGATTTAATATATTAAATGTTTCTATATACATATGTATGTACTTATATTATAATTGTTTGACATTATACAACCCTGATTTGCTTCTGTTTTTTGTTTTTTTTTGATAATAAAAAAGTGCATAAATGTACATATGTATGTATTTTACATATTTATAATTTATTATATAACATATGTATGCATACATGCATTCATATGTACATATATAATGAGTAACTGATAAGAAATCGCCACAACGCCATGTGAGAATCATCGATTCGAAAGACGGTTTAGTCACATGTGAATTATTCAACAAATTCAATGAACATTTTAAATTAATATTTAACCGCTAACTGATGCACTTCACACAATATAGAGCTATTAATAAGCATACCTATTCATATTCATATACATAAAAATATTTTATATATTTTCTTTTAGTAGGGATGGTTTTGTGAATTTGTAAATCACGTGTAAGTTTACTTTAAGTCTATGTATGTACATGTATATGTATCTACATACATACATATGTACATATATGTAAAAAAAATGTATTTCTCGAGAACGATAGGGTCCGAAAAACGAACATTAGTATTATACTCTTATTAATAATAACGGAGAGAACGCTTAAAAATGGTTTTATCCAGGAAGAACAAGAAATATCGTAAATTTTGTGTGTATTAATTTTAATTTTATTTAATATCCCTATAAGGTATGTATATTTCCAATCCTCAGCACACTTAAAAATTCACTTTAGTAATTTATTTTCAGCTCCTCTTTTCCTTAATTGAAGTGTATGGTCGTAATGACTTGTGTGTATGTTTTCATATCTATTAAATGCCAAATAAAATTACCAAAGTTATAAAAAAAACATTTAGCAAAGAAATTTTATTGAAATAATTATATGATGAGTATAGTTTAGTACAATAGTAATTAAATTTAAAAAAGTCATTTATTCAGAAATTTTATAAAAAATATAATATATATTTTTTAATACATAAAATATGTATAAATATATATGTGTATGTATGTATGTTGAAAAAGCCGACAGTGTCAACTAGCTTATAATCGCACATGTTGATCAACACAATTGTTAATAAAGCGTGAAAACTTAAATAAAAGAAAACAAAAACAAAATGTGGCGGGTAGGAATTTAGATATGCATATATACATACATAAAAAGCTTTTGATAAGCAAACAAAAATAACAACATCAAAATTGTTGTAGCGTCTAGGCGAAGCGACAGAAATGTCCGGCAAAACAACCAGCACAACTCGCACACACAATAGCAAATACGGAAATAAAAGCCGAAAATAGTGTAAGGTATTTAATTACAAAAAAAAAGTTTTATTTGCACATTCTAACTACTTACTGATAATTTTATTTCCATTTTCAGCACCTTGTACCATGATTCAGAGAACATTGATCCGCAGTCAACGTACGATGACTTGATTAAGTTAACTATATCCATGTTGTATAGTTTGCCTTTCTTCGTTTTTTTTTAATGGTATTAATTTAAATGAGTCGAAAGCGTTTACATAACACAAACAAAGAATTGTTAAAAAGTAGTAAATATCTCGGAAAATTCTTCAAATTTACTTTTGGAAAAACGCCAAACTAAATGATTATCGTGGGCGTAGCCAGGCACTTTGGATTCAAATATGTTAATATATATGTGCGTGCGTATGTTTATATTTATGCTATCTTCGCCATTCAATTTGAGGGTATAACAAGCATCAATTCATGCAGTATTTTTCCAGCAACAGCATAAAAGGTGACACACAAACACAAACCTATGATAATGACGTAGCTGTTTATCACAAAATTTTATATTTCCCTTTCTTTAATGCTATTCGTTTATGTGTATCCTTTAAAGTATTGTTATTTTTCTTATACAAAACACCGTTGCTTAATTCTGCATATCATTAAAAAATATAATTTTTCCACATTTTTGCACTTCCGATTGCACTATCGCTTTTTCATTTCTTCGCACAATATCCTTGCAAAGGGTCGCCCAGGCTGCCAGACAGGCATTCGTCTTTGGCAACCGAATAATCAAGGCAAATCGCCCATAGTTGAATTGCGCTTAATTTCGCTTAAAAACACTCATCACAAAATAATTTAACTGATTTGCATACAATTACGATTATAATTTTTTTGATATAAAAACACTATAAACCACTGTTGAAAGCACAACAATTGCACTCTCCGATAAGATTTCTTTTGTATTCACACTACGCTGCGATTCTTCAATAATTTGTGCACCCGATTACACTTTTTAGAATAAAATGAGTTTAGTTAAATTTTTATTCTTTTTCAACCCCTCAGAATTTTCAACTGACAGCTGTACGTCGCTGACAGCTGTTTCCAATAGTGTTGCCACTCAGGCTCGCGTTGAGTAATTGAGGAGGAAAATGTGTTATTTGTCGATTTCAAGCGGAAGTGTGACGCCATTTTGTTAAATCTTTATAATTGAAAATTTTACTTTGTGTTGAATTTTTAAAAGAGGAAATCGAAAAAGGGTAATATATATTTCCTTTTTACAACATCAACAACATGTCTAGCAGTTGATATCAGTTTAAATCTGTGTGTGTTTGGTATGGTTTTTGGCGTTTATTTATTTATTGTAGTTATGTATGTTTACGAAAATAAAAAATTGGACTAATTATTATATGAGGAATATTCAACGCTGTAAATTCGCGATTCTTCTCGACCTCAAGACGTCATATTTGAGGACGGCAAAACTTAATGCGAAAAAGTTGTGATCATTAAAGCATTGCTCGATTAAAAGTCCATAATCAGGGATTTAGAAAGTAATTGCTTGGCTAGATTTTGCTATTTTATTTATTTATTTTTGCGCTCTCTTCTGTTCATCATCCACTAACTGCGTTGCCAGCAATTACTGTCATGACAGTAGCTAATTTTTTGCTCATTTCTTTTTTCTGATAAAACCAAAAGGCGTAAAATCATAACTGCTTAAAAAGAGCTGTGCTGCTTAATAACGGTTAATTAATTAACTGCAAATCATGCTCATACATATGTATAATATGCTACAACTTTATGGTTACTCGCGTGATAATTAAAGCATAATTTTATTAAGCCAAGTTTATTTTTCGAAAATCGGTTGCTGAAACCAAGCACCATAGTGATGCCATGAACTGAAATTAAGTTAAAAGTGATTTTTTATGTCTGCTACCAACAGCACATAGTCGATACACCACATACATACATACATGCACACTTGACTCCGTGGCGCTAATAATTAAACTAGCGAAATTTCTCCAACACCAATCAAAGTGTTATTAAAAGATTTATTTCTAATGCAACTTTACATGGCTGCCATTTATTTAGGAATCCTTTACACTCTCTTTGCGATTAGGGTCCAATTCGTAATGCAAAATCAGTAAAAAGAATGAAAGCATTGAAATCTAATAACTCTTCTGCCAAGCTAAGCTATTCAACGGCAATGCGCATGCGTAGTGCATTTGGCGTGCAGCGGTTTCGACATGCAACGAATTAGATAAAATAATGCGGTTGCATTTACGGCAACTTAACTAAATACACATACTCGTAGCTAAACTTTTTTTGTTGTAATTTTTGTGCTTTTGTCTCGCAAAAATTAACAGAGCGTGTGCTACTTTGTTTGTTGCAGCATTTTAATGAACTTTTATTTTGCTAAAAATACGGTTAAAAGTGTTGCTGCTTTATTTTTTGGTTTTGTTTGAAGTTACTTATTGGTTGGTTGGTTGGTTGGTTGGTTGGTTAGTTGAACACACGCCATGGACTTGAACATGCTCATGCATACTAAAATTCACATAAATACATATTACTAAACTAAATACATTTTAATTAAAAGGTAGCTTGATTTCTACCCCATTATTAATTATGTGCATTTATTACCGTTTTGTAAATTAATTATTAATGTTTAATTGCCAATTTAGTGCAATATTCCCCCATGCATTACAATGTCAAAATTTCACCTTACCTAAGTATTGTTAACAAATGTAGTCATATTTATGTATATGTATAATAGTTGTCATTGAAATACCTACAATATTTATCGAGCACTTTATTTTGTTTGCAGATACATACATATCTATGAATGTATAAGATAGGAAGAGTTTTCAAAATGAAATTATTCTTTCTTTTGAATATTAAAAACAGATTTATTCATAAGTTATCTACACCCTCATACAAAATTCATCTTGACCTCATCATTGGTGATACATTTTTTAAACCCTTTTTCATTTTGGAAACAGAGCATAATCACCCGGCATGAGCATTCTCGGCAACCACCTTGGGACAAACCTCAGTCATGCCAAGATGAACATACATAGATAATTTTAAAAATGGTTGTTTCGGATTCTCCAAAAATTCGCATATTGTTTTAGCCTTAGTCGAACGTCGAGGACAATATTTTCAACTTTTTGGATAAGTTCTGATGTGGTCGTCTTCAAGGTATTTCTTACCTTGCTTTATTAGGATTTTTCCCGGACAAAAGTCTCCGGATCGCAACTAATTTTCCTTGCTTGTTTGACGATAGAATAACATTAATTAATTGAACGCCTGTTACAACCCTCTCATTTCGCGAATATAAAACGCTGTCTTAACTCGAATACGATTACAAGGCCCCTAAGTTTTATTCCACTTCTGATAGATTAATATGCATATATTATTTTAATTCTAAATCTTACTATTGGAATATATTTTAGACTACGATGCAACGTATTCGTCACTTCTTAAAGTTTATTTTCATTAAAAAATATTTTAATTTTCGAAACTGTAATTTTTAAATATATTACATTTTAAAAGAAAAATTTTCATTTCATAAATAATTATTTGAATAATTATGCACGTAAAAATATTATTATCTATGTAAAAAATAACATTACAATGAGATATTAATAAAGAATTACATATAATTCTAGTTTTCAAAAATAAGATATCGAGACTAATTGATAAAGATTTTTATTTATATTAAGCTAATGCTAGTATTTCTTTCTTCACTTCATTGCGAAATAGTAACAAGAAGGTATTTCCCCGTTATCTACATACATATATGTATATGTGTTTATGCATATTCGATTATAAGTACTTATGTATGTATGTATGTATACAATATAAAACCTTCTCACATACGGCGTTTTTAGTCACTCGTTGTCATTTCATTCCTAAACACATTTCCCAGTGGACGCATGAGAATAAAAAGTAGATGCACTAAATATGACGTCATTACTTGAGTCTTCACATGATGAAATTATTAGGAATACAGTTGAAAATTTTTCAAAGGTGAGTAGATTAAAAAGAACTTTTAACTCCAACTGGCACACATATGTATACTAAATCTGTTGAATATAGCATAAAAGTGCTCGGCTGGCTTGGCTTGCTTTGGTGTGACAACTGTCAAAACAGCATTTAAATATACCAATGCTAGCGACACTATAAATTTCATATTCATTTTTTCATTCAAAAAAGGTGTGCAATTCCGCGGATTTTCTTGCTATCGCGCCGGCACTTCTACAAAAGATTGTCACTTCCAATAAGCTTGATATTGATTGCGAATTAGACGTCTTCAATACGCTTGTACGCTGGTATGAGCACGACAAAGAGAATCGAGAAAAATGGATTTCTTTATTAATATCCTCACTGAGGCTCAATCAATTTGACCCCGCCTTTATTATTCAGTACATAAAGCCCTTACCTCGGTGCGAGCAATTAGTGGCACAAGCATTAAGTCGGATAAATGAACCCACAAACACTTTAAGTAGAAATTTACCGGAACAAGGAAAAACGCGAAGTGAGCGAAATTGTACGTTGCTGGTTTTGAATGACGTAAAGGTGTGTATAATTAGTCTGTACATGTATCGGTCATCGATAATAATCGATTTACGCATATTGACAACCATTTTTCAGAAACTAAAATTTATGCTACGCTACGACAGAACGCTGGAGAAATGGCAAAAATGTTTTCAATTTAAATTTGTGGATTACAGTTTTGGTTTAATTTATCACGAGAAAGCTTTACTTTTTATTGGCGGACGCGGCAGAGGCATACAGAGGAATGCCACTGTCAAGCGTTTAGATTTGGAGACCCTCACCTGGTCAGAAATGTCTAAAATGTCACAGCGGCGTGATGATTTGTGCGTAGTGAAGTTGGATGAGAAAATTTATGCTTTTGGTGGACATGATGGCGGTGAGCCTTTCAATACAGCGGAAATGTATGCGTTAAAAGAATCAATTTCTTTTAAGTTTTTTAAATTCTTTCGATTATTAAATTCTTTCGCCTTTAGCTACGATATACACACAAATCGCTGGCAATCACTACAGCCAATGTCATATCATCGCTATGGCGCAGGAGCCATCGCTTTTGATGGCAAGATTTATATATTTGGTGGCTTGAGTATTCACTGTGAACCGCTAAATTCAGTCGAATGCTTTGATCCAATGACAAACAATTGGCGGGAATGCGCCAAAATGGAAGGTGCCCGAGGTTGGCCTGGTGTAAGTAGATATTAAAAAGCTTGAAATTTCAAATTGTAAATATTTGAGGTTATGCTGCATTTGCAGGTGACCATATTAAATGGAATGATATACATTGTTGGTGGTTATAATGAAGGCTGGATAAATACTGTTGAACGATTTGAACCACAAAGCAATGTTTGGACTAAGGTTTATTCTAAATTATAGTTTTAAAACTTTTTCATTCATCTAAATATGCATTTTCATAGATTTCACCATTGAATTCTCCACGTTTTGGCGTCTGTGCCATCACAGTTGACAGTCGGATATGGGCCATCACTGGAGATGATAAGTATGTGGCAGAAGAGTATGATTTTGAACAAAATAAGTGGACTGAAAAAACTCCATTGCCTGCTTATGGCATCTTCAGCAGCGTGGAAGTGCCTAATCAACTCATTAATAAATTACATACCAAATATTATGCAAATAATAGAGTAGAAATGTTTTGAAATAAAAGAACGATATTGTGGCGAAAACGCCAAATTCGAATGACAAATGAAAAAGACTTACCCGTACAGCTACAGCATGCTCTACAGCGCAAGTATCTAATATTCAGTTTCGAGAAATTCCTAGAGATAAGAACGAGTAGTCGGCGAGGTTTATAAAAGAGCAGAAACCAATTACAAAGTGAATTGACTGGTGTAAAGTGTAAGATAAGTCGCTGTGTATAGTGAAATTAATTCTTAATTGTTGAATATACGTTGATTAAACTCCTTACAATTAAGTTACGGCAACTTTTATTTAACAATCCAGTGATCGAACTCGTATGATTTGGCAAATCATTAAGGCTTAGCAAGAAAATCGTTACAATATATGTAGATATTTAAAACGCGCACATTTTGGATTTTTCGAATTGATATTAAATGCTTGGCAATCATGTTTGGAGTGAGTATCAAACATGTTCGCAGCAAGTGCTAACAAACATGACTTTGCCGTAGGTACTGGCAGCACTGGTTCGATACAGCGGCAGCGAATGTAGACAGCAGCGGCTTTCTTTCGAGCCGGCGACGTACGAACAATTCATTCGAGCTAGCGATGCTTTCTGAGCGGTTGTGGTGAAAAATATTGTGGTCTAAGAAGTTCAATACAGTGGGTTTCCAACAAACTTGTGTCAAAAATTAATTGCTATGTAATAAATTTTAAATGAATATCTATAAAAGAAGAATAACCGATTTCAGTTTTAGTTAAAATTAGTGAACAAAAATCCAATTGGAAGTATTTTTCGTAATTTGAATATCTTTTTCAGCATAACTAAGGATGTAAAGAGTAAAATTGACAAGTGCTTCCTGTATCCTTTGTGCGCTCATAAACTGAAAAAGGTGTTTAAATATGTAGAGGGTGTGTGGTAGAAAAGAGCAAAGAAAAAAATAGTGTCTATGTAGAGCTGGATGCTGCTGTATTTACCGGTGTTTGTAATTGACAGAAATAGCGAAACCGCCCTTTTTTGTTGCTTTTATAACACTCTTAGTTGATAGACAATTTGTTGTAAAGGATATTTTGCTATCGTTTTGTCTAAGCTGTAAATAATAATTTTTAAATTAAATTCAAATATTTTTAAGTACAAAATCTCTTAACTGAAATCGGCTAATTTTCTATTTTAAATATACTTTTTCATTTCTATAAGACTTGGTGTTTTATGCAAGAAGCTCAGTACCAGTTTTTATACAATCTTCAAGAATTCTTTTTTTTTTGGCTAGTGTAGAAACATTTCTGCGCAGCTGCATACCTTCTAGCTACCTATAAACGAAAACTCGCAGAAAAAGATCAAACGTATAAACCGGTGAAAATCAGAAGGTAAAATAATTTGCTTTGTGTTCATTTTTCTAGTGCAAAATAATTAAAGCAGTAAAGGAATAAATAAAAAAGCAACTTTAATTGAAAGTGTAGCTAAAAGTATATAAAAATTACATTTTATGAATTGAACACTGCGAGTGTGTGCAATATATGTACATATATATTTACAAAGAAAAAGTAAAGGATTTCGCCGGGGCTCTAAAAAGCCAACTCCAAAATTGCACCAAACATAGCGAAGACAAAAGAAACAACGAAATACATACACGTTCAAATATCGCAAAAAAAAGTACAAGCTGAAAAGTGTAAGTTTGCATTAAAAGATTTGAAAAAAAGCTTATTTGAATTTTTATTATTAATTTTTCATAAAGTACAAGTGTGTATGCGCCTATAAATTGCGAAAAATGGCACATCACTATTTAGTTAAGATGATTCGTGTAAAGCCAGCAAACATTAAACAGCGTTTGAACGTCTGGTTCTCTTCACTATATATCTATTTAAGGAAACTTCATTTTCTACAATCGGTTTTGTTATTTATTATTCATCGATTTTTGTTCCTTGTGCCTTTAAACACTTTCCACCGCCCACCACCTTATCATCGTACACCTGAATCAACATATTTTCTTCATTAGCTTAGTCGGCTCTTAAGATAGTTTTTTTTTTGTTTTATTTTTTTTTGGTGGTGTGTTTTTGTTTCTGACGTTTTTGTTGTTTTTACCAGAAGCCCCAAATTAGGTACATAAATATAAATATGCGTGTTTGTGTCTGTGTGTGTCTGCAGCAGCATATTTGTTTGCTTGCATTTTTCAACCGGCTTCCTCACCTTGGCATTGCTGGTGGTGTATTAGTTGCTTGTTTAGCAAGTTGTTTATAGTTACTGCACAGTGTTGCCAGCTAAATTATGTGGAAGTTCATATGTACTATGTGCGGCAGAAGAAAAGCTCATTTCATATTCGCTGGAGCCCTAGCACACGATATTTGTGCACTCACAAATATACTACAATTTTCTTTTAACGTAAGAAAATATTTTGCAAATAGAATTGTATGCAATTCTGTTTGTTTTCAAAAATAATCTTCAAACTGTTTAAATACTTGTCAGTTGACAAGTTTTCTTTTGTGTGTGAGACGTTTTGGGCCATATGAAGAACACACATGAACTTATGTGTGCATCTGCGTCTGCATTTTTGCTGGGAATGTGACAACTTGATTTGCCATTCGCCGTTGTGGATGCACATAAACATGTATGTACGTATATATCGAACTGTCACAAGCGGCTGGTGTCCAACAACATTCTGTTTACCTGCAATTTTTACTTTGTGCTTTCATTGTGCTTGTTCATATTTTTCTTTACATTGTATTTGCAGCGCGTTGATTTCTTGTTTTCCACTTTTTGCATGTTTTTCAATATTATCTTTTCTTTCTATGCGTTGACTTTTCTTTTAATTAGTTGAGTTGCTATTTTTTATTTGCTGTTTTTGTTTGCTTGATGTTTTCGTCGACGCTCCAATTGAAGTGACATTGACAATTGCAGTGCTAATTACAGCAGCAATGGACACAATATAAGTACATATGAGTATGTACATATGTATGTGCCTACGTGTGAATATTTGAATGTAATTTATCTGCCAGCGCACAGACGCATTTAATTAATGCGCGCTTTCGTTTTAATATGTTGTGATTTATTTCATAAAAATATATACATACAAACATATGTATGCAGTAGGAGTAACTCTAATTTGAGAGTAATGAAGTTGTATTAATAACCATTTAAGAGCACGGATTACACATTCTGTTAAGTCAATTAATGCAATGTCCTTAACTCATCTCCACAACAATTCCAGTGCATTTGATGTCTGGAAGTGTCACTGACTGAATGCTCATGCAAAAAGCTTACGAATTTTTGTTGACTGTCTTTTTAAGTTTGAAATTTTCTCTTCGGTATATGGAAAACTATTTATTATGACTGAAACTTGTATTATATTTCAAAGGTAATAAATCATTTAGTCAACTCACCTTTGCAAATCGATTAACTATCGATAACATTGCAAATGACAAAACAAACGGCAGTAAACGATTCCGGTGACCACTGCTCCTTTTGACAAGCTGTGAAAATAAATATTTTCACAAGACAATCGCTTCTAATTTATGAAACATATACAGATGTTGGAATTGTGGTAAATAATATTAGAAGATTAAATTTGTAAACGCGAAATCTATTAGCTCACAGCATGTTAACTTTACTTAAAAAAATGGCTTAATACTAGCATTTTTCATACATATGTATGTGCTATTCATTCAATCTTCAAAAATATAATATAATGAATTTGAAATATATTTTGAAAAGCTCAAAAAAGTATACTATTGATTGCTACCTTACTTCCGGCGGCGAAATGTTGAAAAGATTAGCTAAAAGAGAAGTTCATTCCGCCAGTAGCACTCGACATGGGCAGTGCTTGGGAACGGCTCGTGGTTTCTGTCAAATCTGCTTTGTTCAAAACTACGTCGTCATTAAGTTTTAACGATGAAGCTGTTGAGAGGATCAGCTAAAAATTGAAAAAATGAAAAATATCAATAAAATACGTGTTTGCTCTGTACGTTAAACTAAAAACTGAAAAAAAACATCTTACTAAAACATAGAAGAAAAATAAAAAAAAGTACGCCATTTTTCTTTTTAAAAATTTAGCCATTAAAAGTTCTTTCTTTGCAATCTTATCACGCAGTTGATGCACCGTGAGATGTCGATGAAATCAAGGCGAATACACACGGTCTTAAATTAAAATATATTAGAAATAAATTTTTTTATATCTTTTACTCTTTTTTTGTATATTTATAAAGAAAAAAAAATTTTGTTTGATTTCTTACAAATTAAAAATCTAAATATTTGCCAATAAAATATTTGACAGCCTTAGAAATTTAATACTTCCTATTCAAAAATATTTATTTTTCCAATTTATTTATTTTTTTTATTTTATAAATACGTAGCCACTTATGTACTTCTGTATTTACCGGTATTTTGTTTACTTCACCGGTGCTTTTGACTCATCAACATTGTCGTCGTCTTCATCCACCCTGCAACAGTGCTCTTCCACCTTCGCAATTTTCCACGTTAATGTATGGTGTGTATCTGTTAAAATTGCTCCTTTGGATTGAATGAATGTATGTATGTATGCATGTATATACGCGTGTATTTTCATGAGTTGCTTGTGATACTACATTTACTTTCTGCCCATGTTCAATTACCAACAGGATCTTTTGTTGTGTGAATTTAGGGCGTGTGCTTTATGGCTTCCCGAAGTTTTTGTCGACACAAGTACTCATGCAGCGGAGAGTTGGTTGAAATTTTCATTTCCTACACTTGAAAATGGAGGGAGGATGCTATAAAAATAGAATAGATGAGAAGAAATTCGTATTATCAGCATTGAAAGATGAGTATACATATATATACATACATATGTAGATGTCTGAAAATACATATATATGTACATACACATATAACATATAACCATGCTTTGTTCCCAACTCTACAGTATTCAGCATTGAGTACTATTTGATGCCAATTGTTGTGGCAGCAACGGCGGCCGAAGTACCTTAGATATTCCATAAACGAGCAAAGTTTGGCAAGATTTCAATTGCTTTCGTTGTCTATTTGCCGTAGAGAAGTGGGTGCCAAGAACTTCTAAATATTAATTAATCATTTTTATCAACTTATTTTATATTGAATAAACTGGAGTATTTCATCAAAAAAAATCTTGAAATTGAAATGGCGAACAATTACGTCTGTAAATGCATTCACCTGTGCATTGAATTGTTATTTTTACCGTTATTTCCTGCGTGCTCATATATAAAAGTTTGTTAAATTGTTTTTTCCATTATCATAAACCAATTGACACAATGCCCGAATATTTTGACAAGTGATAAAAATCCACCCTTAATGAAAGAGGGAGTAAATAAAGCAGAGAAGATAAGCCAACAAAAAAGAAAAATAAATATTAATCGACCCTTACTTATCGACATATGTTCGAATTTCGCGCTAACGCAAATATACATATGGTTTGCATTACATACATATGGCTGTACATACATGTATACAAATACACATACGCGCATGTACTTGCATAAAGCGCACCAGAAGGAGGTTTCCAAGCGGCTTTAGAATTTTCCGTATTATCACTATCAAACTAAGAGAACCAAGGAGCAACTTTGAAGCCACAGGCGAGATACTTTCGTACATTTAAAAAGTGTCCGCCTCGGCTGGCTCGAATAAATTCCAGTCGACCACTTTTTGCACTACCCACGACCCTGCAGTATGTCAACGCCGAATATTCTCCTCAAAGACGTCAATCGTCTCGGGCTTATCTACGTTGGCAAGCGAGCCCACAAAAAGTAATGCTGCTGTGTTAAATCACACGATCTTGGGAGCCATGTCTTAGGCCAAATATGCGAGATTTTGCGCTCACTAAAAGTTTGCTCCAATAAGTTTATTGTTTCCTTGGCTGTATGGCATGTACCACCGTCTTGTTGGAGCCAAAGATCGTCCAAAGATCGAAAAAAAGCAAAAATCATGACTGTAAAGCTTTCCCCATTGCCTGTAACATTGTGACAGGCTCCATTTTTGATGAAATATGGATCCAAGCTAGCTCAGCGAGCCAATTGAAAAATAATTTCTCAAGGAGCTTGTGTCGCGTGGTCATTAAAGCTGATCAATGACTGAAGTAATAGTTTTCAATAGTCTCTTCCTTTTCATCGTCCCTTAAGGATCAGACAAAATTTATTCGATAGTACGCTCAGAGTACTTCTACATTTTATCATTACTCTACAGTCCAAAGAGTGATTCAGCGTTGGAGTTCATGACTGATAATGTTGTTGGTATTTGCACGGGTTCCAATATAGACGACATTGTCTACAAACTGTTACCTGGTCTGAAACGTTTTTTGGCATCGGACGTCTTGGGAAGGTTCTACCTGATCCTGGCAGGGCTTTTGGTGTTGCTTGACGTCAGTGCATGCAATCATATAAGTATTGCAGCAGCATAGAGGTAGCTCCCAGTTGTCAAAGGCCACTTTAAAATCGACGAAGGGGTGGTGATGATAAAGTCTTGGTGCGCTTTATTCTTTCCCACAATACCTGCGATAGGACTTTTTAAGTGATTTTGAGGAGGCCTACCGCACGGTAATTGACACAGACACACTTATCAATAGTCCGAAATTCTTTCATCCGACCATAATCTGCAAAGAAGCTGATGCATGCACCTTTTCAGTTCTTCGCCGTCGTACTTGAATAGTGTGTCCAGTAATCCTTCGAGCTCGCTGCTTTGTTGTCATACAGGCGGGCATTTTCAATTCAATATTCTTCATAGTCGGGCAATAAAACTTCTGCTTCATCATCATTGATTGATAAATTGGTTTCACCATCTCCAGGTATAACTGGTGCTCTCTCCATAAATTCAGTGTATTTTGGGCATCCGTTGCTAGATCACCTATCTGGATTCAATAAGAGTTTGCTCGGTTGGAAACTTTCTATAAGTTTGCGTATCTTGTCATAGAATTTCCGGGTTTGTCAAGTCCTTCAAGCTTCCCTCTTCTATTCTCGTTATCTATCCCATACCTCACGTTAGTGGTCGATCGCAACGTGGCGAGCAATCGTTGCAGCTGTACGCTGAGAGCCGTCCCACAGCTCTGTTATACCGAGTTGCTGCTGAATGCTCTCAGGGAGCAGGCGTGAAAGTCGAACCATTTTGGGTTTGTTGATGTGTTTCTTTGAAAAAAAGTTTCGCTATGGGAAAATATCTGCGTGAGCAGATGATTGTTTGAGAAATTGTCATTTGCCGAGCTCTAGAGATTAGAATTTTTTCGAACAGAATCTACCTAAAGGCGTATACGGTACATTAAGTAATTGTTACAGGGTTTTAACCTTTTAATTTTATTTTTATTATTTTCAATTACCAATTCTCATCACACCCGTCTCAGACTGTACTTTCGTTAATTTATGGGTGTCAATTCCGTTGAATGTGTGGACTCACGCTTCGCACATTTAAAATTCCAAAATACATTTGTACAGATGTGTGTGTGTGTGGTGTTAATGTACCTATGTATGTATGTATGTGCATAAAATTTGGTGTATTCCAAATTTACATTACTAATTGCTCGCCACCACCAATAGTAAATACTCAAAGTCATAACATCGACTCGTCATCATCGTCATGCCATCGGCGCGACGCAGCAATTGAGTTTTACCTTTTGTTTCTTTTATTCTATTCTATTTCATTATATAATATTTTATTTGCTTCCGTTTTATCTTGCCGGATGTGAAGCGTGAGCCGGTCAGGTAGCCAGTCTTACTGGCGAAGTCTCATTCTCACGTCAGAATAGGCTAAAGGAAGTAAGAACTAAAGCAAAGGCAAAACTAAGACGAAAACAAAAACAAAACTCTTTAGCTTGTACGTCAATGTTTATGCGTATAAATTTATTTATTTTCGATTTTTTTTATTTTTCTGCTGCTTACGTGGTTGAGTACACACATACAAATGTAAATTAATTATTTTTATGCACTGGAAGGGAGGTGTAGCACACGCTGTGTGAGGTCAATGCCCGACTTGAGTGTAATATTTTGCAAAATTTTGTATGAAAAAATCTCCTCCAAGGGGAAACTTTCGAGAAATGAGGCTTTATACGCGGACCGGGAAGTTACTAACGAATATGCAGATTCACTCGGAGCTAAATTGCATAGTTTCACGTCATCATCTCAGTTAGTTTGACCCCGTTGACCCGTTGACCCAAGCGGTGTTAAGTTGTCAAAAAAATTACGGCCACTGTCAGTTGGTTTCGAATCAACTTCCGTATGTAGAACCCTGTCCTGGGTTTCTTCACCTCCACACTTCTACGTCACTTATAAACAAAGTTTACGACTAACTTTTTCACCCACTGAACGAAGATGAGATTAGTAGTACTAGGCAGCACTAGACTATACGGACTCCATTCGACAATAGGTTACAGAACCGCAGATCGCGATGTCGTACTACCGACGAACCTTGAACGCCATTCGCAGAGAGTAAGTCTGGTGCTTCTTCAACTCTCCTTCGGTGTATAATATAATCGAAATCTTACTACCACTTACCAAAAGCAAGAGACTGTAACTTTTTCTTGAGACCCTGGCTTGATTAAGGGAGCGTCCATAAACCACAAAGCTATGGGAGAGAAAGGTCACAGGAAAGGCTAAATTACACTAAATGAAGGGAGTTTTGGATGGCCTATAATCCACGAGGTTTATGGACAATCCCTAAAGTCTGAATAATAAAGCAAACTTATCCGCCAACCTAGCCGGACTTGACCCCGACGCACCCAACGTATGTATTTTCTGCATGTTAAAACTGACCTTTGGCTTTGTAAGAACACTAATTGTCGGGGTCTCCTGTTAAATAATCTTGATGACATTGAAAAGCTGGATTACCTAAACGCTTTAACAACAACATGTGAATCTATTGAATTCCAGCCCTGGATGGGTGTAGAAAAATGGATTAGGAGTTAGAAAAAACTTTAGATCAGTTCGAGACGTAGTCAGAGAGCTCGTTGGCTGAGTTCCCTCACGCATTAAAAAGTTATTTTCTCCAGCTCTCTCAAGCCCAGTCTCTTATTATTTATCTATGGAAATGCG